GGAACCAGGAGGATCACAGGCCTTGGACGGATTGAGGAACGCATGGTAAGGATCAAGGGAGCTATTCTAAAACAGCCACGAAGTCCCCATCTATTGGATTGATCTTTCAAACCCATGTTAAGGGGTTATATTATATACTTATATTTTTAATGTGAGATAAATGTTATCTCACCACATTAAATTATACTTTATTTTATTTTCTTGCATACACATCTCATGCATCAAATAATGATACTTGTCTCACATCTATAGGAGCCTATAATAGCATAAACACTTATGGCTTTATCATACTCATCGTTGGAGATGATTTTCTACCTGTATATATCATTCATTCCCTGTTGAGGGACACCTTTTACACCCAAGTTCTTTTGTTATTATTATGTGAGAATACAATTATAGTGTTGACGTGTCCTGTACGTTCCCCTTGATTCTGAAACTAAGAGCATGTTTAGTGTGACGTATAAGTTATGATAATATAAACTTATATTATACGTTATGATATTTTCAGTTGTTTGGTGTGACCATCGTATAGTATAAGCTTATACAGCATAATCCCTTAATATATCAAAATGATGTATAACTTAATCCGGCCTAAGGGTGAGGGATAAGGTCTGATAAGATATTGATGTATTAACATCGTTGACCAATGTAATTCTCAAAAATTAATATATTATTTTAATATTATTCTATTAAAATAAAAATTAATTTTTCAATATATTATTATTTAAAATATTGAATATTTTTATTTTTATAAAAATTAATTTATATTTTGGACACACTGATCAATAAATTTTTATAAAAATTAATATCATATGACATTTTTTGAAGAATTATATAAATTCTTTATTAAAGGATATTTTTAGTAAAAATATTTATTTTTATCATATATAGTATTATATAGTGCATTATCAAATACTAGATGATATTATCTTATACAATATATTATTTTATACAATACCGTACCAACCACTGGATAGTATTAAAATTCAATCAGGCCTTATACCCCTAAGAATCTTGCGAAAACATCTTCTTCTTTTTTGGAAACTGATCATAATTACCTCTTTGAGGCGAATCAGAACCCCTCGGTATCCCCACGGGTAGGGGTGCTAAACGAGCCAGGGGCCTTTGGCTCGGTTCGTGAAGGCCTGAGCTTACATGTCTGAAATTGGTTATTGGCACCAGGTTTGAACTTGTATAAAAACTCGTTTAATAAAAAGGCTTCAGGCTCCAATTCAAAAGTTCGGCCTTAGAGCCTCTCAGCCTGACCTAGTATATTATTTTTTTATATATTTTTTTATACTACTTGTAATATCCCTCTCTTTCTTCTCAATCCATTTCATCCCATTTTATTGGTTAAACAGAGTTTTTGAACGATTTTGTTCTATATTATGTTGTTTGGATATACCTTGAATTTATGAATATTTATGGAATTACTAGTGTTATTGATTATATATTCTGTTTGGATAAATTTTTATTGTCTTGTTTTTTTAAAACATGCTAAATCAGACTTTTATTTTTTATAAATAAGACAGGCCACATACCAATAATTATATTTATAACAGGCAACAGGCTTGGTCAGGCTTACCCATTTAAATACAAGCTTAGCCTTTTAAGAGCAAAGCTCAGCTCGGTTCGGCTCGTTAACCCCCCCGACCCACGGGTTCGACTCTTTGAGCCGTCTATGAGACTAATCCAGAGTTCAGGTGCGAGTCCAAGAATTACGGTACTTATGTCCCTCCCCAGATAGTGTTGGTGGGATTCGAACCGAAGTCCTATCCCACCACTCAGTCCCTATGCTACCAACTGAGCCATCACACTTGGGTCGAAAACATCTTTATTAAAAACTTGAATGGGATAGATTTACCGTCCTTATAGTATTACCCAACTTGATTGAATTTGAATAATCAAATAATTGATAAAGAATTAAAAAAAAGACTTGTAATTTTTTTAATAATTTTAATTCTGTCAACATCAAATTTTGTAATTTTTTTAGTGGACTAAAATAAAAAATTTCTTTTAGTCCATCATTCAATTATTAACTAAAATCATTAACATAAATAACTATTTATATATAGCAAAAGTATTTTTGTCTTTGCGATAGAAAAATTTTGTCCGCTATAAACAATTTTTACCAAGTGGATTCTCATTTTTTTTAACAAGGATCCGCTGACGGATTTGGTTTTTGGTGATGGCAAAAAATAGAACATATATATATATAGATGAGTTTGTTTTTTCTCCAGTTACTGCAGATAAATTATCTGCAATAAGCCCAATACGACGTTGTTTTGGGACGGAAATCATAGTGTTTTTGTAATTGTAATTTATTTCAGGGTTATAATAGTCTTTATATTTATAATTTTATAAGATTTCAATACCAAAACGACGTCGTTTTGGGAATAAATGCAGATAATTTATCTGCAATAACTGCAGAAACTATATATATATATATAGGTCAGTATCATTTTACACCAGTGTAAGTTACACTCTCAATCTTGTTCACTGATTCCACTTATATCTAAGCGCTCAAATTTTTTAGTAATATGAGCCATTGGATACAAGTGGATCAATGGTCAAGATTGAATGTAAGACTTCTAACTCTTACACCGGTGTAAGAATATCCTGCCCTTATATATATATATAGGAAAATTGTGTGTCTTTTTAAAGGACTAAAATTATGTCATTTTAAAAGAGAGAAAGAGAAAGAGATAGATAAAGGGGAAGAGAGAGTGGACAAAAAAAATGTACTCTTTGTGAGAGTAAAATGACATAAGTTGTCTTATTTAAAAGGACAAACACTTTTCCCTATATATATATAGGGACGGTTATACTTACCACCAGGTAAGTTTACCACCCTTACAACCAATCTCCTAGCCGTTAGATTAGAATTAAATCTAACGGCCCATAATTATCCCTTATAATCCTAATTTTTTCTCTCTCATCCCTTCTCTCTCTAGGTTTGGGATCTGCACATCTCTCTCTAGGTTTGGGAATCAACTCTCTCAGTCATTTCGCAACAAAATAAAAATCTTAGTAATAAACTAATCGTGAGTAACCATAATTATTTCCAGTGCAGTTTCTGACGATTGTCAAGATTCAATCAGCAGAAAGCACAAGAACTGATTGATAATCACACATTTGCTTTGCGATAAAAATTAATAGAGCGTATATCAAAAGGACCTAGTAATCGACGCATGATCAGACATTATTTTGGTTCGTTGTTATGACGATATCAACTAAAAAACAAAAAAACTAGATTCAACATCTCCCCTCTCTCTCTAGGTTTGGGATCTGCACACACCTCTCTCTAGGTTTGGGAATCAACTCTTGCATCCTCTCTTTATTGTTACAGTGATTCCACAAAGCATCATATAGAGAGGATGAGAGAGTTGATTCCCAAACCTAGAGAGAGGTGTGCAGATCCCAAACGAGAGACAGAAAGGGGATGAGAGAAAAAATTAGGATTATAAGGGATAATTATGGGCCGTTAGATTTAATTCTAATCTAACAGCTAGGAGATTGGTTGTAAGGGTGGTAAACTTACCTGGTGGTAAGTATAACCGTCCACTATATATATATAGGGTTTGGTATTTGTCATTTTAAATGACATAAGTTATGTCATTTTAGGAGAGAGATAAACACAAAAAAAGAAAATCATGGGAGAGAGAAAGTGAGTGATTTTTTTAATTTAAATTTTAAATAAAAAAATTATTTTGTTTTTATCTCTCTCTTAAATTGACATTACTTTATGTCATTTAAATGACAAACACTTTTCTCATATATATATAAGGGTTTGGTGTTTGTCATTTTAAATGACATAAGTTAAGTCATTTTAGGAGAGAGATAGACACAAAAAAACGGAAATCATGGGAGAGAGAAAGTGGGTGGTTTTTTTTTAATTTAAAATTCAAATTTTCTGTGTCTGTATCTCTCTTAAAATGATATAACTTTCTGTCATTTAAAGTAACAAACATTTTTCCCTATATATATATATATATATATAATCTCATGTTATGTGAGAAAACAAATTCTTCCTACATATACGAGAAAACAAATCCTTCCTATATATATCATAAAAAGTTGTCACATTCTTTTTTTATTTTATTTTTTTAAATAGATAAATCTCACACTTAATATATATATATATATATATATGGATTCTCTTTTTCTACCGTCAATATAGATAATTTATCTACATTGAGCCCAAAACGACGTCGTTTTGAGGCAAAAATCAATGTATTTTTGTAATTGTAATTTATTTTAGGGTTACAATAGTTTTTTCATTATAATTTTTTATTTTTAAACTTAAAACGACGTCGTTTTGGGAGTGATTGTAGATAACTTATCTACATTCACTTTAGAAACCTTAAAGCCTATATATATATATATATGGGAAAAAAAAATCTAATGTTACTTTAGATAATTTTATCTAATGTTCACTAAAACGACGTTATTTTGAAGTTGAAAAATTAAAAAATTAGAATGATAAAGACTATTATAACCTGAAATAAATTAAAATTACAAATATCCATGATTTTCGCTCCAAAACGACGTCGTTTCGGCGAACATTAGATAAAATTATCTAAAATAACTTTAAAAAAAATAAACCCATATATATATATATATATATATATATATATATATATATATATATATATATTACATGAGATTAGGATTTTTCTATCATATAAGATTTATTTTTCCCATCTATAATATGGCATTTTATTGAAGGGTTTTATAATTCTTATGTTGAATGAGAATTGAAATCTTATGTTCTAGAGATAAAAAAACATGTGAGACCCATATGTTAGAAAAAATTATATGTAAGACCCATGTTAATACAAAAATCGAAGGGTGGGTAGAAAAATATTAATTCTCATGTTGAATGAGAATTATGAAACCCTTTATTGAATTGGTATTAAAATAAAAAAGAAAAAGAAAAATTGAAGCTATTTTAATCGTAAGTGGCATCCTTTACGAGGTTGGAAATCCGCAGAATATTTGAGGCAGAAGCAGAATGAGAATCCGATCGGTGTTCGACGGCGGCGACATGAGAAGGGAATTTGAAAAAAGTGGTATTGACCCAAAGTTCCTTCCATTGATATGGAAGCATGTGATTCTGAATCTGAAGCAAAACGGTGAATGGGATTGGGAGAAACATGTTCCCTCTTTGCCTTCATCAGCCTACTCTTTGCTTCGTTCCAACTTCAAAAACCCTCTCTCTTCCTCTCTCCACTCCGTTTTCCACTCTTCTGATAACCTCACCTCCAAGCTCCTCATCAAGCTCCATGTACAGTTGTTCTCCCTCTCAATCTCTTTCTCTCTCTTTTTTATAATTATAACATATGCTCTTATGTGCAAGTAGGCTAAATTTGTTTTCTTTTTCCAGTTTCCGTTTTGGGTTTTTACTGAAACTGAAAATTAAGGGCATGCTCTTTTTGGAGGATAAGGTTTTGCATTGTGAAGTTTTGGATTCAAGTGTACTAGATTTTTAAATTGAGAGAAGGAGGGTGGTGGTATAAATCTGTGTGGCAAAGATTAATAGGCTTTCTTGCAAAGTATCATTATGTTTGATTCACCCTAACTTCTACTTGATGCCAAAAACAATGATGCAAGTTTTTCCTGCTTGTGTATTACTTTTGGCCTTCATGTTAAATGTGCTTTTATTTATGAATCTCTGTTGATGCAAGTCTTTGTTCTCTGCTCATTAGTTACTGGAATTACCTTGTGTCTTTGTGATCTGAAGCATGCTGTTTTATCTTATGTGGTAATGTAAACATAGGTAGTTCAGTACTTAAATCGTTTAAAGAACAATTGATTTTTTTTATATGAATTTCTGTTGTCAGAATGGAGCTTTTGTGGAGGCTGTGATAATGAGGTATGATACTCGTTTGGGCAAATATGGTGGTAAACCCCGTCCCGGTGGTCTAAGAGCAACTTTGTGTATATCATCTCAGGTTTCTTCCCCTCAGCCCCCCTCCTCTTATGTTTCCATTTTCCCCCTCTCCTTGATTTGAGTTTTGATGATAAATCTATTTCTTTTTCATTGGAGCTTTTTCTTCCTCTTCGTTTGACACAAATGAAATGCAAATGTTTCCTTTTTCTGAAGGTAGGATGCAAAATGGGTTGTAAATTCTGTGCTACTGGAAGTATGGGGTTCAAAAATAACTTATCATCCGGAGAAATTGTGGAACAGTTGGTTCATGCCTCTAGTTTATCACAGATTCGTAATGTTGTTTTCATGGTAATTACTTTTTACCTCCTTTATGGTTTATGTCTAGAGGCAGTCTTTTTGTATCTGCGCATGAAGAGAGGTTTTCTTGTTTGTGATGAGTTCTGTATATCATCCACTGTGCTTGACTTCAAATGTTGAGCACTGTTAGTATAAATCTGTAGATACTGCTCTTTTCATATAGCTGAAGCAAGAGATTTAACTGTGATCTTCCTTTTATCCTTTTCTTTCTCTACCCTTGAATATGTTATATTCTATGTCTTTTATGATTTGCTATTTTGTCTAAAAGCATGAACTTTGTTGCTGATACTAATTGATGGTAATCTTATCTAACCACTCGCATTGGTGCATCCTTGCTCAAATTATTGGAAAACCTGATATACTTATTCCTTGTGTCTGTTTTCGTATATAAACAAAAATTGAGGAAAATAAGAAGAAAAAAGAAAATTCCTGTCTGATTATCAGTTGTGCAAGAATTACTTATCATTTATCAATTGAATAACTGAATAAATGAATATTATTGATTTCCTGTCAATTTTATTTTGGGGCTGCATCCTCTGGTATTTAACAAATGTTAACAAACCCACAACTTTATTAAAAATTATCTTAGAGACCGTAATGGCATAATGTTTCCTCATTATTACCCTGCTGTGTTTTGATTCTTATAGATATTCTACTAATCTAAAGATGTATTAAATGCCAAATGTGTCACTATAATTGCAATTAATATCCAGTTTGCAGTTTAATCAACTATTTTCGTACAGGGAATGGGAGAGCCTCTGAACAACTATTCTGCTGTGGTAGAATCAGTTCGTGTCATGACTGGATTGCCATTTCAATTGTCATTGAAAAGGATTACCATCTCAACGGTAAAAATATGCACTACCGACTTGCATTGTTTTCTTCTATTTTTCCTGACAAATTAACTTCCAAAAACCTTGTATTTTATTCCAGTAGGTGGGTCTTATACTTCATGCCAAAAACTCTGGATTGAAAGGAATAAGATTATACATTCTACTTCCTTTATTTGAGATTATTAGTATTTGTTAATGAGTACCCAGCTAAAGGATTTCCTTTTTATTAAGCATGTTGATTACTATTCGAGTAAAATCTGAGAATTTCCTAAGGCTCTAAAGCAGATTATGTTTATACTGAGAGTTTGGGACATTGCCTTTGCTGTGTCTATTGTTTTTCTGTTTAGTAATTTCTTTTACATAAAGTTCTTGAATGCTGGAAATTTCTGGTTTATGAAGGGTATATTTGCATCTGTAATAGGTTGGCATCATTCATGCTATCAACAAGCTTCATAATGATCTGCCCGGATTGAACTTGGCAGTCTCACTGCATGCACCAGCCCAAGACATCCGTTGCCAAATAATGCCTGCTGCTCGTGCTTTCCCTTTGGAAAAACTTATGGATTCACTGCAAGAATATCAAATGAAAAGGTGATTTCCAAACATCCATGCTACTTCTGAGTATTATGTAAACTTTTGTTCTTTAGCATTGTGAACAATTTCAGTGATTTTGGAGTGTTTACTATTTCATCCTTAATTACAGTCTGCAGAAAATATTAATTGAGTACATAATGCTTGATGGGGTAAATGATGAGGAGCAGCATGCCCACCAATTGGGAAAACTGCTAGAGACATTTCAAGTGGTAAACACCCAAATTTTACGTGGTAGCATATTAGAATTTTGAAAATTCTGAATTTTAAGTAATTCTCTAAATTGTTTATAGATTTGAAAATTGCTTGTTCCTCTCTCTTTTTAGTGTTTCTCTGTCAAACATCAATGCTCTACCAATATAATTCCAACAGCCTACTTCTCTAAAATGTAGGCACTGGGATTGGTGGTGTTTCTTGAGAACATCTACTCATTCAGTGACCGTGAATGATCAATCTAATGTGACATCCACATATTTGAAAATATAACTAAACAATTCAAATAAAGATTACAAAGCTCATTTAATCCTGTAACAGAGCTGGTTTTGGGGGAGTAATTTCCAATTCTACTTTTTCAGTGAGTCTGTAGTAAGCTTGTAGCATTTATGCTGTCCATTTCTTCTCGTTACCTAATTTCATATCTTGCTATTTGCTAATTGCTTTTGGCCTTTTGCATTCTCTCTCTCTTTTTTTCTTAAACTTGATATTCATTCCCAGTTGCACAATGCTCTTGACTTTTTGCTAATTGTCTGAATTATGAAGCAGGTAGTGAACTTAATACCTTTCAACCCTATTGGTACATTGAGTCAATTCAAGCCTACTAGTGAGGAGAAAGTCTCGAAATTTCAGAAAATTCTTAGGGGTACCTATAATATTCGAACAACGGTTCGGAAGCAGATGGGTCAGGACATAAGTGGTGCATGTGGACAATTGGTGGTTAACTTACCGGACAAGTCTCTTGGAAATGCAGATCCCCTAACGGACATAGAAGATCTTGTTATTTGATATCATTTAGCTTCAGTTTAATTCTTAGTCTGAATTTAAAATATATATATAAATTCCTTATTTATTTATTTTCTCTTAAGTTTAATTCTATAGAAATTTAAGTTTAATCTATTTTTTTCCTTGCTCATCTAGGTACCACTTACACAATCACTGTCATTCGCTCAACGAATATGTAGTGATTAATATTACAAAGTAAACATGGATACTGCATTTGAGTATTAAATGATGTTAAATTTATTTGATAATATTACATATACGAAAGTTAAAGAAACCAAATTTTATACTCTACTATAATTATATTTAGCTGTAGATTTTACCTGCTATCTAATGTGAAATGTCGGCGTACAACGTTATTATCTTTTCCTTCCAAAGTTGTCCCTTGCAATTTTTCAAGCTTACTATTAAAATCAAACGGAACCACTCATGCAGATGTGTATCAACTGGACTTCTAGGAATCCTGGAAGTATCTGGCCATTAAGTTTTACACGATGATTTAGAGTTTCTGGCCTATTTATAAGTCGGTAATTTAGAGATAAGCCAACTGCAAGTCAAAGACAACCTACTTGATGGGAGTTTATAGAATTGACCAAAATACAAAATCTTAAGAAAGGACGATAAGTCATGTACTAGGTTGACAAAAAAGATCCGGTTCTAAAAATTGTCACGAATAAGCTAAAAGGTTTGATAGTCAAGGAAAACAGGGTAATACAGGCATTTCGATTACATATTGTTCTGCATTCTAATGAAGCCAAGGGAAATTCCAATTTCAAAACCTGTACGCCTCAGTCAGCGGGGATTGAGTCCAGTTGAAACTAAAATTCAGAGCAGTGCATGCTTATAATTGCACCTGAGGAAATGAAATACTTTATAAACAGGTAAATCATCTGTGGATATTGCCCCCTAAGCCACGAGTTGAAAAGATGATTTAGAACGACCTTAATACTGGCTGCTGTTTGCAATTATGAAGCCAAGAGTGCTTCCAGCTTTGCTATCTGATCATCCTCATTCTTCTGTGGAATGTGATCCTTATTAACCTCTTGATATAAATCATGTTTCCACTTCTCAGTTTGAGTCTTAATGGGACGATAACCTTGTCTTCCATTGAATTTATCTCTTCCCCTGTAATTGCCATCGTCACCATTGCCCCCATATCTTCCTCTTAATGGAAATCCATCTCTCCTAGCTTCACCCTTGTTTGGCGCTCTATCATCTGCAAATTGCTTCTCAGGTCTATCCAACTGGCGTGGGTTGCTGCTTCTTTCCTCCCTCCTTTCATTCCTTTCTGGAGGGTGGTCAATCTGGCCTGACTTTACAGCCGGATCAGCATCTCCCAAATCCACCGGAATCTTCTTCTCCCTAAATGCAGGTCTTTTCCTCGTGGCAGGAAGTGAATCATCTTTCCTTCCAGAAAAACCATCTCTTCTCTGGAAAGTATCATCATTCGGTTTGGCTTGTGATTTCTCATCTCTCATCTCCCTACCGTGACTTGTCTTTGCCCTTTCATTATGCTGATTCTTTGAGTCTTTCCACCATCCGCGCTCTGGAATAAAAATGAAATAATTAGATTCTTTTCTGTGAACAACTATGGTGTATGTTATATTTCCACTTGGTGCAAAGATCACACAAGAAGCTCACAAATTTTTGTGAGTCAAGTCAACAGGGAGAAATTCCAATTAAGTTTTTCTTTTAACTGTTTATTTATTTAATTTTGTTTCTCAACCACATTTTATAACAAAATACTTACAACTGAAAAAACATTTTTTCTTGCACAAAATGTAAGGAATATTGCACTAAATACAATGAAAAAATATATATCCAAAATGAAAAAAAATGGGAAACTCACCACCAGCTTTCCTTTGACCAGAGCTTCGCCCAGCCTGCCCTGCACTACCTCGTTCATCATGCTGTCATAAGACATGCATAGGCCTAAGGTGGTTATATATATATATATATAACGGAGGCACTTGAAGGCATGGTGCTGAACATGAATCCCACTACATCACCCCCAGAAAAATAGTTTGCATACACTGAATAAAAATCAAGCGTACGAAAAAATTTAAATCTGTAGTTGAATTAAGACTTTCCTTTCATATGGGAATACATGTGAAGATAAATACTCCAACTCCTTACATGTTAGGGGATGTAAGAATCATTTTCGACAATTATTATATTCTGCTCGAATAATCAACTATTCATGCAATATTTGATCTTCAAAGAAAACTCAAATCATTTTCATTTTTTACCACTTCTGGCTTATATTTCACCTGGTATAGCCATACTAGATAGCAATCCTGGCAATCTTGAATAAGTAACTTGTCACCCTCGTGTAGAAGAGAAAGATAGAGAAAAATGGCAAGGCTAAGCATTAGCACTAAGACTGAAAAGTGACAAATGAAATCACTCATAACTTCTGCCCGACAGTTAATAGATCATCAACATCAATATCACATTTATCTCAAATTAGATGGGGTAGGCAATTGATGAACCCAAATTAAAAGCAAGAAAAGATTGATTGATACTAAGCAAAGAGTACACAATGGTTTATTATGTTTTTTCCCAGTTCTCCACAACATAACCATTGTTTACTAGCCACAATACACTCCAACTAAATATGATAACGGTGCACTCAAGTTAATCACTTGGGTAAAAGATTGTACCGCCGTGGCTAACCTAGCGGTATGCAATCCTCTTCTAGCATATGAAAGATCATGGGTTTTAAAACAAAGCAAGCGAGTGAAACCTTACATTTTACAAATGTTTTTAATTTTGGCTCGACTCAACAGGAGCTTTGAAAGCACCAAGCAGGCCAAAAACAAGTCAAAAGGGCGAGAACTAATACTTAAAAACAAGTCCTATGCGCAACATCTGTACAAAACCTGAAAATGAGAGAGAGATATTGGTACTTGAGTTGGATCAGGTGCATGTTTGGGTGCTTCATGATGATCAATTGGTTTCTTGTTCGTGTCCTTGAGCAGATCCCCAGACTGTTGCTTAGAATGATCTGCCGCCAAAGGGGCTTCATGTGGTAAGGAATCACGCAGCTTGGGGTGGTGTCTCTGGTCTCCATTTTCTTCGGTAGCACTAGTTGTTGCTCGGTCTCTTTCTTGTTTTCTATATCTCTTGGGGCTAGAACCAGCAACAACTATTATTCGTTAGATATAAACCCCCATATCCCCCACAGAAATCAACAACAAACAATTGCATTTTAATAGAACGAATCCAACACAGAGCTTCTTCCAAAGTAAGGTTTGAAATTAAGAATTACTAACGTCAACCTGCTGACAAAAATAAATATAATATGGATTTCACAAGAATGGGTTGGGTGGTAGTACTAAGCAATTCGACCATGAAAGTGCAACAAAAATCCTATTTGTTGATGATATATGAAAGAAAAGACAAAAGAGGGTGTGGCTATGCCTATGGCTATGTGTACGTACACACCTGGGTTCTCGATCGAATCGAGAATGGCGTCGCTTGGAATCAGAATCACGACGAGACATTGGGGTTTGTCTCAAAAGAAGAAATGAAATGATAGGGTTAGTTAGTGTGTTACGTTAGGGACTTAAATTAAACTTGGTGACTGCGTCTGCTTCGAGAATGAATTTTTGTTGCTACTGTTGCATTAAAGATTCAATACATTTCATTAATGAAAATATTACATGTTAGTTAAAGTTTTCTTTTTTTTTGCCAAATTTGTTCTCTCTCCTATGATATGTAATGTTCTCTCATTGATGAGATGTACTGAATCTTAATATAACAGTAACACCAAATATATATTCCTGCTTCACATGTCATCCTTCGTTTTATGAAATCTACACTCACACATGACAGATGGACACCACCCGTGTGTGTGCTTTTAAATGTCTTGTGTGCTACTACATTATTGCCAGATACGACCGTATTTTATTTTTATTTTTTATTTCTGAGGAAAATATAATTAAAATAAACATTTTATTTTTATTTTTTAGGCCAAGCAGAACTTTTATATTTTTTTTTAAAAAATTCCAATCAGTTCATTGCTTCGCAACTAATTCGATTCGAGGCAGATCTATGATTAAGGCTTTAAACCCCTCCCAAAGGTGGTATTGAAGAGATTCGAACAGATGCTCTCATCCCCACCTGCTTAGCTCTCATGCGCGCTGTTACGATCTTTTATTTTATTATTTTATTATTTTCTGAATTGTTGAGTTGTTTAAGTAGTGGGTTGTTATTTGAATTTTAACTTTCCTAAAGAATAGGTCATAGCTATTAGTGGAGCATAGTGGGTAGTTATCTTTAAAGTTGTCTTGTATTATCTATTTAAACCTTTAGGTATTTGAATAAAAGTATCATATCAGATTAAAAAAATTATCCAGAAGTCACTTTGTGCAAGAGGTCAGGCTTCCTCAATAAAGTCATTTGAGGTCAGACTTCCTCAACAAAGCCAATTTCCTATTTTTATTTATTGTGTTCGTAATATGCGCCAACTGAACTTCCAGCATTTGGTGCAAAACTTTTTCATTACCACTAGTGTGTACGTATATATATGTACAGGCCCTAAATTGGGTGATAAAATATGGAAGGTCTGGCCTGTGCCCACTTCTATGTCAACCTTGGTTAATGATATTTTGCACATTCTGATCCAAATGACCTGGTCACCTTGTGCACTTTCTGCCCTTCATTTATTTTGATAAGAATGTGTCATTTCTCAAAACTAAAACCAGGTATGCTTTGCCGTTCCGAATATCGAAATGGGCCTTCAGTCCATCTTCCAACAACCCCTTCAAGTTGATACGATTGATAGGATGCCCGATGAAACACGGATTTACTCACAAGACTGACTGCGTTTGAAACCAGTTCTTAAGAAACTCCATATTAGTTCAATTTGTTCATTTCAAGTTTCATATTTGTATAATTTATATATAAAAAAATCAATTCAAGTGTTTGGAGTTCTACAGTCTATAATCTATATTATAATTATAGCTTTAATCTATTCATCAGAGCCAGAGGCATCGTTTGAGAGCGCCCGTTTTTTAGGAAAACCGCATTAGTAACGAGCCTCATCAATTCAACTTGAAATATGCATAGCTTAAAGCAGATTGTGAACGGGTAACAACATTCTCCGGAAAATGCGTCACGTGAATAGGACTATTTTATTCATCATCAAGGTTCATATTACAAAGTAAGTTACAAATAGAATTTACACATGTTACAAGGAAAAATAACATACATATTATACAAAAATTTCCAGATGTTGAGTTTTGCGGTACAGAACTGCATGCACAACATTATCATAACTTGAAAACTTTGATTACTCTTTAGCGAAAAAATAATCAATGGGTTTATACCCGCCTTCTTTCTGCGACACCTTTTGCTTCTTGGATTTGCTTTGTCTAGTGATTCGATCCATCTGATCCCGACTGAAAGAACAAAGATTAAACACATCAAAAAATGCCTTGAGCAAAAATGTGAAGACGCACACTGTCTAATTCATATCTACTAATTTGTTGCAATTTAAAAATTACCTTTGACTCGGAACAGATGTTTGGTGAATCCTAGATTCTTGCTTTTGAAGCTTTTCAGCAAGATGAAAATCAGAATGCTCTGATCTTTCCTCAATAAAACTTGGCGGCATTTCTATTCCACAAAGTGAGCACCTGTAGCCATTCAACCACAACATCGTCTTTTCCTGACAAGAAGAATTGAGTCTCTCATCCTCCAAGAGATTAGACCCATTACTCACATTAATTCCCTCAAACTGCCCCTGGAACGAAGAAGTTGACCCCAGGATTTCTGTAAATCCACTGTAGTTAGAACTTGTAGTATTATTGCCAGACGTTTGCACCTGGGAAATATAGAAGAAAGCATAAATAGCCATTGCAGAAAAACATGAGCAAGCTCCTCAATCAGCCAAATCAATTAATCGATTTCTGGAATTGATGAATATGTTAGCTACTTAGCAAAATAGGGGGTTGGGGTGGCGGTGGGGAGAGGAAGAGAGCGAGAGAGAGAGAGAGAGAGAGAGAGAGATAGAGAGGTAAATATATGTACCTCCTCTGCACTATCATTTTTCCGGACAGTGCAGCCTTGGTAATCTACATCTAATGAATGAATACCATCTAAAGGATCTCTGGAATCATGCTGACATGTCTGCCGGCTGTCAATGGAAAGATCAGTTTCTGTATCACTGACAAAGTCATGATCTGTAACATCTGGAAAAGAACTACAAGTCCTATTGGCATCTCCTGAAGTAATGAAGTTGGTAATGGTCTTCTGGGTAGGATCAGATGTAACACCACACTTGTCTCCATTAAACTGTGATACTCTCAGGCCTGAGAGGAGAAGAAAATCTTTGTTATGCTCTGACACAGATAAGACAAAAATTTGAACTTTCTCATTGTCTAAATCTGTAAACAGTAAGCGCCTTCTTATCATGGCCTTGAGCACCATCTTAGTAATTGTCAACAATAATAAACCTAACAGAAACACATACCTATCAATCTTACTGAAATAGGAAGTTCAGCTTTTAGCAGCTTTGAAGCATGCTTCAATATATCCTCGCTCGAGCTGATGTACTTTTGTAAAGTCGCAGCTCTAGTCCGAACCTGTAGATTGTGCATTTATTGGCACTTGGAAGAGAAGTACAGTATGATAGTAAAATGCAAGGTGATAATAACATATCACCAAAGGGACTTCATACTAAAATCAAAAAAATATCAACAAATCATAATATCCTTGAGGTTAAGGACATTTCTCTTCAGCAAGAGACTAGTATTTTTCAATCAAGCTTTATCTACGGAGGTGACAAACCAAGCTATAGAAGTGTTCTTGATAACAGATAGGAAAATATTAAGAGAAAACAAAGTCGAGACATTAGTAGTACCTCAAAAGAAGCAGTTTTCAGTTTAAGAGTCAATGTTCGCCCACACAGACCCTCTTTATGCATGTCAGTGGATAGCATTTCAGCAAGCTCCGCTGCAAACATTAGCTTGAATGGCTCATATGTTGATGAATCAATGTAATTAAAGTGTTATTCTAATTCACTTACCCAAAAAAAAAGGGCTTATCCAATTCAGAAACTCAGCATGTCGTAGTCATTAGCTAATTTTTTTGAAAAACCATGCATATTTATTATGATGACAACATTGAAAATTTGAAATCCAAGAAAACTCCCTGAAAATAAAACAATAATAGACAAGACAGATACCCAATCTTTTATACAACAGCACTTCATCCTCGGTGGCAGAAAATGTTCTTTCACTACTAATACTTTTCCGAAATCTTACTTGGGGATTATGTGTCTTCCCAAGACCTAAACCGACAGAGTAAAAAAAATCTGCAGCAAATCGACATAAAGTCTCATGTTAATAAAGGATTCATGGAATCAACTTTGAATGAAACATGATTAGCATACATGAATTACGGTTCAAAAACCATAGGATAGAGGCTAAATTTACAAGCTTGCCAAATAATAGTTGCAGAAAGAAGAGAGAATTTTCAAAATAGACATTAGAATGATAAAAAAATATTAAAAAAAAAAACTTGTATGAATTTCAATCTAACTTCCATGTAAATGTAGGTAAATCTCTGTGGAACAGTAAATACAACTTGCATACTGGTTTTGCATGTTAATCAAGAAAACAGCCACACCTGAACAGATAGCTAACCTGCTGTTGACTGAGAGAAAAGAGCACACAGGTGGCTACCCTTCTCCAGCATCTGCTCACATGTGTTAATTCCCAAAATTTCCTTCAAAATATGTTCAGTGACCTTACCAATGCCCCCAATCTGACAATATTATTCATCATTATTAATCAGAAAGGCACCTCTTTAAAAGATGCAGATATAACAGTACTGCCCACAACTAGGCACAAAACCAATAATTTGGAACCAAAAAAACCCGATTACTTGATGAAATCAGTAAACAATAAACTCAAGCATACCTTTCTGATAGGAAGGGAAGATATGAAGGTCATCACAGCCATGCGGTCATTTGGCAAAACATACTGTCCATTTGGCTTGTTTATGTCTGAACAAACCTATATGAGAGTAAAATGCCAATATTTTAAGTAAGAGCATGAAATTTCTTCAGAAGATCAAACAATCACTTTCTCCACTACTTTTTAGTTTCTACAAAGCAAGAAGAGCTAGAAAGAAGTATTATTGATGCCTCTAGTTCACAATATTAAAAGTAGAGACCATTGGTCATGGAAAACAATGAAACAAAGAAAGCAGATGTATAAATTTACATGGTTTTACATAAAGCTAACACCGCTTTTGGTGTCACCTAATTTTTTTTTTATAAAATTTAAAAAATTGGGTAACTGATGGTGAGTGGGACTATACAGGCAAAATGCCAATCAAAAACTTAATAAAAGATAGGGTAATACATTCATAATGTTACAGGAAAGCAAAAAACATTTCCTACAGAGACAACACTTGACATGGGACCCATTAATATTTGTTTCTCTCTCTTTAGAATTGTTTCTCTCTCCCAATTGTTGTCTCTACAGGAAAATATTTTGATATCATGCAACATTACCGATGTATTTCCCTAAAAGATAACTGCCATTATCAGGACAAGTTATGAGACAATTGAGGAGATACACAATTATCACAACTTCATGAAAGAATGGAAAAAATGGAAAATGAAAAAACATGAAAATTATGCCTTCCTAATTAATGTGAAAGTGCAGTTCCTCCTTCAATGCATTTCATTTAAAAAAGAAAAAGAAAACAGCAGCTGACAAGTGACAAGTACAGAATTGCATGCAAAAGGGTTAGTGTACTTGAATGTAACAAGAATAATAAGGTGCTTTAAAGCTCAACTTGAACAAATGGGCAGATAACATAGCTATGAAAAATAACATGTAGAACCTTGGCCAGCAAGTGATTTGGTGCCACTCCAGCACTACATGTGAGACCAGTCTCTTCATGAACACTGGCTCTGAGTTCTTGGGCAATCTACAAATTCCAAATTTACAAAAAGAAGACGTTTAATACAGCTAAAGTCCTTCTATTGCTCATTTAATCTGACATGCCAACTTACTTCTTCACTTTTGACATTCCTTTCTTTGCAAACTTCAGTTATATCAAGGTATGCTTCATCCAGGCTAGCAGCCATGAAATTGGGATCATACCTCCGAAAAACTAGCAATAATAAGTGCATATTAAGCTACCGTCAGTAATTAAAAGGAAAAGCTGCAATCCAAAACCAATCATACAAAGGAGAATACCTTTTCTGGTCAAATCACTGTAATAAGTATACTTCTTGAAATCTACTGGGACAAAGACTAATTCTGGACATAATTTACGTGCAATGAACCCAGGCATGGCAGAACGAACCCCAAATTTACGGGCCTGTATAAAGACCAAATCAGGATTAGAACAGGAATTCCATGATGCAGTAGAGTTTGCGCAGATTAATTTTTGAAACATCCATCAGATCAATTCAGATTCTAGAATGCTCAAAAACAATGTCAAGTCAAGCTTATAATGTGTTAACATAATAAACCTCATAATTGGCAGTGGATATCATAGACATGCTACCAACAGCCATTGGCTTGCCCTTTAATGTAGGGTTACTTAAAGTCTCAACTGCTGCATAGAAAGCATCCATATCTACATGCAACCAAAACCGTGAGAGGTCACGCGAAGCTTCTAGCTCAAGAATTCTTCTATCAGCCACCTGCCATTGGAAAAACTAAGACATTAAATTAATGCATATGATTTTAAAACTTCAAAGCAGAAAAATACTCGATAGTAACAAGTTAAGCAACCTATATTTAGAATCAAAAGATCCATGTGGTTGAAGATATTAGCAGGTAAAAAGATGAGTAATACGTAAACATGAAGAAAGAAAGGCATTCAAATTCAGTAACCTCACCACTAGTATTGCATTATTAATAACATAGACTCAGTTAGTTGATAAACAAATACATCAACATTTTTATTAAACAAAACAAGGAAGTATAATAAAACTATAAATTTGCTAGTAAGACAAGCCTAAAACATATGTACCACCAGTGTTTGATGATTATATTGAGTTGAGAAAATTACCTTCTGAAAATGGGATAAGTCTGCCTGTGTAAGCTTTGCACACTGAATTTGCATGTTGTCAATTTTCTGCTTAATAAAAGCCTCCTTCCGTTCCTCATTCTGAAAATATTTGGATCCTTTGCTCATTTCATACACTATCCTTTGTACTTTCTCCTTGTCAACCCCATCCATTCCTTAACAATGAAATCAACCATTATTCCATCACTTATAAGAGAACAAACATTACCAGTAAATATCAAACATCACTGAATTAATTTTTAGTAGTGCATGAAGATTGAACTCGTCTTTCAAACATCATTTCCGGAGCTAGTAATAGTAATCTCACAAAAACATAATAGAAAGAATATATCTCAATTAAACCCCAAAAAAAGAAAAAGAGTGTTCCTGTGCCTGTGCCTGTGCCTGTGCCTGTGCTGTGTAGGCATATATTAATTGTATATTATAATAGTGACCTGCTTTGGCGGTTGTGTAAACAGTGTGGTAGGACTGCCATGGACGATCACCATTGGTTTTGGTTTCGGTTTCGGTTTCGGTTCCATCCATCGCCCTCCGCGCTCCACGATGCTCTGCTCCGCTCCGCTCCGAAACACCATTACATGCCAAAATTTGGGCCTTTGGGTCCTTCTTTACCTTCCCAATAAAGCCCAAGAAAATTCTCCTCAACAAAAATACAATATTAAAAAAAAAAATACATACCATTTTAACTATAATACACTGAAAAAATAGGAAAAATTTCATTTTACCGTCGTGATTTCGAGATTTATTAAAAAAATTTAATCCAGGAAATGATTATTACTGAAATATAGTGAAAAATATATTTTACTGAAAAGTTATTAAAAAACTGTTTGGTAGGATCAGATTTACCCGAGAAATTATGAATAAATTTACTGAGTGTGTGTTTAGGTAGTTGTAATATATTTGTGAAAATGTTTGGATATTTTACAAAAATAACCCCAACATTACTGAAAATTTACAGATCGTATACATTGTGAAGGTCAATTTAGTAAACATTTTCGCGCTATAAATTTTGCTTCCCCGAACACTGAATAATTCCACCAATTCTTTGGATCTATATTTTGACAAACAGTGCGAGAGTTAACACACAGATCCATTTTCCCAGAAACATATTTTGCCTGAAAAGTTTTGATATTTGAGCTGCCAAACGCAACACTCTTTGTTCCCCATTTGTGCTTTCCCGAGTTTTAATATAAAAGTCGTGTACCAAACGCCTTGTTATAGTTTTAAACATATCGTTTAGATCTGTTGTGCTTAAATAATTTATTATTTAATTTTTCGTGATTTTAAATTTTCACTTAGATACCTTGTAGTTAGAAAAAATTTCACTTAGATCCCTTGTGGTTACAAAAATAAAAAATTTAAAAAATAAAAATTTAAAATAAACTTTCCCTCTTTTTTATTTTATATCTTCACCTAATGCATTTAGGGTTTACAAAATAAAATAAAAGAAAAAATTCACTTACTTTTATCAAAAAAATTAATTCAAATCAAATATTATTTTATTTTATCTACTTTTTACCCGATATTGTTATAAAATTATCTAAAGAAAGTAAATATCTTATTTTGATAATACATATTTAATTTATCTTAAATAATATTTTTTTAATTTCAAATATATTTTTAAAATAAATTAATTAATTAAGATAATTTATAAATTAATTTCAGAATAAATAACTTGAAATATTTTTTAAACCCTAAATGCATTACATGAGGATATAATATAAAAAAGAGAAAAATTATTTTAAATATTTATTTTTTCAACCACAAGTAGTCTAAGTGAAAATTTGAAACTAAAGAAAATTAAATAATAAATTATTTCAAAACAATGGATCTAAGTGATAAATTTAAAATTTCAAGATGTCAAATGATATATAACAAAATCACAATAGATAAAAATAAAGTTTTCGCACAAAAAATACACTAAAATTCACCTTCCAGAGTAGTTACATTAAAAAATAAGGAAAGGCCAAGGCTTCACCCAACTTCAACGTGGCTCCCGCCAATGATGATATGGATGTCGCAGCTTGAACGTGATTGTCTTCTTATCCAAAAAAGAAAAATACTAGGACAACATCAATAATCTTTGTATGGTATCTATCAAATTAAGCATGTGGTGTTAGAACTTTTTATAATCGTGGCATTCAATCAATTGTAATTTTTTTTATTTTTATAAAAAAGAAAAGAACTTTATTTTTACCTAATGTGATTTTATAATTTATCACTTGACTTCTTGTAGTTATAAATTTGTTACTTGAATTTACTGTGCTTAAATAATTCATTATTTTACCTCTATGGTTTCAAACTTTCACTTACACTCATCTTGGTTACAAAAATATATTAATTAGACCCCTTGTCATCTTATAAATATAAAAATATTTACCTTTTCTAAATTTTATTTTATATAATTATGATATTATCAAATAAAATTATACTAAAATTAATAATTAAATATTAAATTAAAAAATATTTCAAGTTATTTACTTTAAAATTAATTTATAAATTATCTTAGTTTTTTATTTATTTTAAAAATATATTTAAAAATTAAAAAATATTATTTAAGTTAAATTAAATATGTATTATCAAAATAAGATATTTACTTTCTTTAGATAATTTCATAATAATATCAGGTAAAAAAATAGATAAAATAAAATAATATTTGATTTGAATTTATTTTCATGATAAAATTACGTCAATTTCTAAAATTTATTTTTATTTATTTGCCTTAAATGCATTAGATGAGAATATAAAATAAAAAAGAAGAAAAATAAAAAAAATTATACATATAAATAATTTAAATTTAAATAAATAGTTTATATTTTTTTGTAAATAATTTTAATTTATAATATGATATAATATAAGATAAAAGTTGGGAAAAAAAATTATGTGTACATAAGACCACAAGGAATCTAAGTAATATTTTTATAATCAAGTGCAAGTGAAATTTTGAAATCACGAGGATTAAATGATAAATTATTTAAGCACAATAAGTCTAAATGACAAGTTTAAAACTACAGAGGTCAAATAATAAATCATAAAATCACAATGGGGTGAAAATGAAGTTTTTCCTTATAAAAAAGAGCTAAGGGGTGTATTGAATTGAGATTTCAAAAGATTTTAATGGATTATTTTTGGGGGAAAAAATCCATAGATATTCAGTTAGGATTTTAAAAGGATTGAAAAAAAGTCATGTGGTATTTGATTAGGATTTTAAGAGATTATTTTCGAGTCCGTACAAATTCGTTGGTATTCAATCAAGATTTTAAACAAAAAAAAAAAAAATATTGTGATATTCAAAAATATGACGATTTTAATAGATTTTCTATTGGTGTATTATTCAATCAGGTTTTCTACATGGGGTGCAGTATAAAACTTATTTAATTAGGTGATTTTTTATTTGAGCTTAGATATCTGTAAAATGGTTAGTGTAGGCCTAAATCATAGGTCCATGATGGGAAGGAGATTAGGGTTAATAAATTTGAATAGGTCTCCTCTGTATTTATAATATATTGGAAAATCGTTACTTCACAATAGAGAGTTGTGTGAATTGCAGAGAAAAATCTTGATCTTTTCAACTTTATAAGAGCATTAGAGCAAGCAGCAACAAGCAAAAAAGCCTTCAAGAAATCAAGAATTATGTCTTTAACAAGTAAGTGTAAGTCTTTTTGTGTTCTAATTTCGTATAATTCTATCTTATAATTTCTTACATGTGTATGTTTGAATTTGATGTCATAATATAATTGTCTTTGGAGTATAGAAGTAAACAAGTTAACCGATTCAGTTGTTCTTCAATGTTACATAATAAAATATAGAAAATTTCAGTTTCATCTGTAGTAATTACACGGTGGATCACTTAATTTCTGTAGCTACAAAATTATAGTTCTTATGGTTTGAAATCATTATTTGAATTTATTTTGATTGTAAAAATATATCACCTAAATTATTTGAATTTCAAATTATTACTCAGCCTCATTATGGTTAGAAAAAATTATATTATTTAGACACTTTTTGTCTTTTACATATAATTTTTTTAATTTTTATCCTCTATTATTATAATATTATCAATTAAAATTATAATATAATTAAGCATTGAAGATTAAATTAAAATTCATTTATTTAAAAATGTTCTCAAAATTAAAAATATTATTTCAAAGAATAAAAAACTTATTATCTTAAAACCTAGAATTAACTTATATGGGAAGGTTAAGATTTGGACATAATTTTGATTATTTTTTATAATCTTTTATTTATTAATTTAATTTTAATCATTATCTTAAAACGTATCTTTAAGAACGATAATGATCATACAATTATTTAGAACAGATTACATGATACGTTCTAAATAATTTATTTTGAACGATAATAATTCAGCCATATTTCTTAACGAGGTTTGCATTTGTTATTTGACATGACACAACAAAGTTTTCTATCCACACGACATTTTGTGGGGCCCACATTTTTTAAAGAAAAAAAAAATTTACGACACATAAAACAAATCTCTGTAACATTATATAATCATTTTTTCTACAACATAACTCTTATAAAACCTTTTCTTAATTTGTATTTTTTCTTCGTCTTATGCTATCTAATTATTAGTGCATGCCTTAACAACACATACCAACGAAAGACGAAGTCGCTTTAATGTGGGAATGCCTCACCTCACCCCTCTTTCTTTCTCTCCCACTCCCATCATCGTCCATTAAGAAATCAGAAAGCAACGGTCACCGTTCATTCCCCTTTACTCCCTCCCCGCCAATAATAGTATAATACCATTCATTTTACTTTCTCACTCTTCCGCTACCTTATATATAAACTAATCTTTTCCCCTCACCCACTCTTTTTTTTTATTTTTTTATTTTTTTAAATTAATTCTCCAATAAAAATAATAATTTTAAATTGTGAGCAGCAATGACAATGACGGGCACAGCACAGCTTGGAACATGTTCCGTCCCCCGTCAAGAAACGCTGTCGTCTCCGAAGGTAGGTTTTTTAAACCTAAATCTGAACCATGGTCGTGCTCCTGCTTCTGTCCTCATTTTCAGATCCAAGGAAGTGAAAATGAACTCCAATCGCCTCAATGTCGGTGGTGACCCCCTCCACACCAATGGCCATGCCGGTAACGTTTCATTTCCACTCTCATTTCTTCTATTCTATTCTGATTATACCCTAATATGGCTTGGCTCCCGGAAACAATGATCAATTCGTTATGCACATTTTGGAACTCACTGCATGTTCTTAAAATATGACAGACAGACAGACATAATAAAGCTTTCAATATATCTTTCTTTACTTACTCATTCTGAAATATTAAAATACAAACACTACGGACAATTCTGTGTTTTCTTTTTTATGTGCTTTCTAGTTTTCATTGTTTTTTAATTATTAATTTTAGCTTTTGGGCATGCGCAAGAAGCAAATCTTGACCATTCGAACTTTGCATGTGTATGTATGATGTCCACAACACAATCTCTCAATCCAATGGTGGATTTTTTATGCAATTCAGCATATAGAAAGTTATGAATTGATGTATGATTGTTTTTTATTTACTCTACTGTCACCTATTCTATATAATATTACACGCATGTGCATATATTAGTAGGAAAAGGATGTGTATCATTTTAAAGAACACAAACTTAGTTCCTTTTAAGAGAGAGATAAACATAAAGAGGTGTGGGTCCCACTGAAAATAATAAAGAAAAAAAAAAAAGGTAATAGGATTCTTTTTTTCTTTCTTTTTTTGGAAATATTCCAATCGGTATATTGTTTGCAACTAATCCGATTCGGAGCGGGTCCAGGATTAAGGCTTTAAATCTCTTCCAAAGGTGGTGCTGGGGAGATTCGAACACATGCTCTCACCCCTACCTGCTTAACTCCCATGCCCCAACTGAGCTACCACCATTTGGTTGTGATAGGATTCTTCAAACCTGCATATATTGTACCATAAATATTTTAGTAGTTTCTTTAAATAGAATCTAATGTGACATGTCATTTTGCATTCTTTCCAATGTGAATGTCACTCTGCAAGTTGGATGAGTTTTGGCTTAGTCAGTTGTATAACTTTCTAATGCGCTTTTCAATCAGGGAAACATATCAGCCAATCGTCTACAATTGAGAATTCAACAAATATTCACTGGCACAGCTGTCCCGTCAAGAAAGATGATAGACAGAAGTTACTAGATCAAAAAGGATGCGTGATATGGATCACTGGTCTAAGTGGCTCCGGTTAGTGCTCTGTTCCTGTTAATTTTCTTGCTTTTATTTCCTTTTTTTAATCAAAAGAATTACGTGCCAGTGTCTTTTTCATTGTTGATATAGGACCTTTTATGGACTTGTTGATTTCAGAATAATTTTACTGATTTCGATCTACTTACATGACAATCGTTTGTCACAATTTCATTTGATGTTGGTTTTGCCATACAATTTGTTGCTTATTAATTTCTTCATTAAAATTTAGATTTTTTACTGTGTTATCTCATTCTTACTTACATTCTACTATTCCTCTTCGGTTTGCATGCTTATTATATTAAGTATATCTTATAAGTTTTTTTGTTGAAGCTGTGAAGGGAGTCATTCTTGAAAAGCATTATTTAGTTACTGATTTTAATTTTCTCAATATAATTTTTTTATTGATTTATATAAACATATGCACAATGTTATAATACTTATAAAAATGAATAATGAGTGGGTTATAATATAAGTATATAACAATTTACAGGGAAAAGCACTGTGGCTTGCGCTTTGAGTCGAATCTTGCATCAGAGGGGAAAATTGACTTATGTTCTTGATGGGGACAATGTTAGGCATGGCTTGAATAAAAACCTTGGATTTAAAGCCGAAGACCGAGCCGAGAATATAAGGAGAGTTGGTAGGTTATATCTTTTACTTGGTCTTTTGTGTGAAGGTCATACAAGCACTTTGTAACATTTGGAATGTCATCTGATTAATGTGTATGTGTGTGTCTGTACATGCACATTCAGTCTTGCATTAGTGTATGTATGTGAATATTTGTATTTTAATAAGGTATGAAAGCACTTAGTTAAATATTAAGTATACAACATGACTTTCCCTTTGTTGCTTGGTTGGTCTTTTGTTATTCCTTCCAGGCGAGGTAGCAAAACTATTTGCAGATGCTGGAGTTATTTGCCTTGCAAGCTTGATATCTCCCTATAGAAGAGATCGGGATGCCTGCCGTGCACTGTTGCCAAAAGGAGATTTTATTGAGGTAATTGCTTCTTGTGACTGATATTTGACCTACATTACTTACATAACTGAGATTTAACATTACAGGTTTTCATGGATGTACCGCTTCATATTTGTGAAGCAAGAGATCCCAAGGGCCTTTATAAGCTTGCAAGGGCTGGACAGATCAAAGGTAGTCTTGCACAACCTTTCTAATTTTCACTTCATTAGTTTAGATGTAGTTGTGTATATGGGGTGTACTACACTAATTGATGCTAAAACCAATCTCTGAACCACCAGTAGTTTTTGGAAGATATCCTAAATTTGTACATTGTTATCACTTTTTGGCATGCACTTATATTTGATGTTGTTTTTTAATTTACTTATTGTACTGTTTTTCAGGCTTTACAGGGATTGATGATCCGTATGAGGCACCGATTAATTCTGAGGTATATATCCTGTTTCGGTATTAATAGAAAACTGTTAATTGACTTATTGAACATGCATGTGGACTGAAATTGGTATTTGTAAACAATTGCTCCAATTTATAAATCTCATTGCAATTAAACATACATTTTTTATTTTATTTTTTATTTTTTTTGGGGTGTTTCTCTGAATATGAGAGCTCATAATGAACTATTCTAGATCCTACATCCTACTCAAACCAATTCCTAATAGGCACATAGTATTTCTAAGTATGTTACGATGTTAACAAGGCCGCTGTTGCTAAAGAACGTTCTGAAAGGTGTGCATTTCAAGTCTGCTTGTATTTGGTGAAGCATGGATTAAAACCTTCACTTTTTACTGTTTTATGCCTGAATTTAAACTGTTTTGTTCCTTGTTTAGTATAATGAATCTCATATGCATATAAAAATTAATGCCATGCATTTTATCTTTGAACTTTTTTTATTTTTTCTAATTTCTATCACTAGAAAATTATTGAAAAATACCTTTGCTCTCTTCTTTTTATCAAAAAATTAAAAAATTAAACAGATAGTGCTAAAACATGGAGAACCACGTGCTTCCCCCACTGAGATGGCAGAAAAAGTGGCTGTTTACTTGGAGGACAAAGGGTACCTTCGGGCGTAAGATGGTGGTGCTCTTATCCCTGGCCAGCAAAATTTTGACTGTACTTTGCTTAACTACCAGTTTCTGCCGCATTGATGAATGATCAATTAATTAATGCTACATTTTGCTCCTTGCCTCCTCCCTCTCTTGAGCTTTCCCTTTTATTTTTTATTTTTTGGTAATTAGAGTTTTCGCTTTTAGTCTTCATTGTAAATGATATTATGAAATTTGATACGGATATATTCTTTTTCACTGGCGCAGCCCCCTTTTTGTAAATACTATTTCCTTGCATCAATGTTTTATGTATGGAAAAATTGTTTGTCATTTGAAATAACATAACTTGTGTCATGTTATTCTCATAAAAATATGGGACTTATATCTTTATTTTTTTTTAATCCACTCTCTCTCTTCCATGATTTATCTCTTTTTTTCACTTAAAATGACATAATTTTATATCATTTAAAATGACATACTTTTCCCTTTTCCCTTTTCCCTTTACCTTTTATGTATTTGTAAATAAATACAACAGTGTTGCTTCTATTGTTTGTGGATGATAAGTTGAGTATCTGCTGGTTTATATTGACGAAAAACTCAAGCCACTTTTCGGTAGTTATTTGTCACATGCTCCCTTATTAATATAATGGCTTTTGGACACACTGCCTTAGCGTAATGTTTCACATGTTGTACTATACAAATTGCGAAAAGTGGCTATGAAATTTGTGGAGGAATGAAGTTAAGGTGCAGAACCTATGCCTATAAACACTGCTTGCTAATGGTTTCCTGCATTTCAACTTAGAGAAAAAATTGTATTATTTTGAGAGAGGTGTGTTTTTTTAATATAAGATAGAGTAATATTGTTCTCTCTTTATATTCAGAGAGATGTTATAATTTTTTTCATTTAGGAAAAATCTTCTTTAATCTTGTCCGTGATTTTTTTCAATTGATTTTTACGTACATCTAGTGTCATTTTAATTGGTATATTTGTTGATTTCTTGACTCGTAGAATCAAGATAAGATTAATTATATCATTGGTGTTTAGGAAAGTGGTTAAAAGACATAGCTTTAAATTTAATAATTATTTAATTAATCAGTGTTGTGTAACACGGAAAGATTCCCACTAGGTATACACCTACCTAACCAATTGGTGTGGTTGATAGTTTCTTGAAATTTCTTGATTATTTTAGTTATATAATACTCTGTTACCTAACAAACATCCGTATGAAGACTTTGAACATTTTTATTTTACTCTTGGATATGCACAGTTCTAAATGTTGTTGGATCCATGAATCGTAATGTTTGTCATGGGAAATTTCTCGTGTGTATATGTAAAAATGAAAATTTGGTCGCAAGTATTGTCTATTACATGGAAGCATGTCATGAATACCGAAATACCACTTGTATCCCCTGATCTATGTGCGTATGATGATTCTAATTTATTAAAAATTAATAAATAATTAATGAATATAATTTCAGATTTATTTTTTCTACAATCAATATAGATAAATTATTTACATCCCAAAACGATGTCATTTTGACATGAAAATCAAGTTATTTTTATAATTATAATTTTTTTCAAATTTATAATAATCTTTCTTATTATAATTTTTTAACTCAAAACAACATCATTTTGAGAGTATTCTAAATAACTTATTTTTTTTTTGGACAAATTCTAAATAACTTATTTACACAACAGAAACATTAAAACCTATAATTTCATAAAATACAGTCATTAGATATACGTACATCATCAATTAAAATTACAGAATCATGTGATGACCACATAGCAAACTATTCTTTCCCCTTTTACCAAAGAGCATCAGTTAAAATTGGGTGCAAGATTAACTTAGAGAGCGTGCTTAAATTAAGTAATTTCGTATTTTATATTTAAAATAACATAATCAAAATATTACTAAAAGAACATTTGAAAAAAAAATCCAAAAAATTAAGCTAAACCAAAAGGTTAATCTTTAGAACATTGTAGATGGACATAAAAACGAAAATAATAGAATAGATACATATAAACCATATTTAATTAATCAAATAGTGACAAAACAATTTATCTAAGACTGATCCTAGGCAAGTAAGACGTGCAGATTAAAGCTGCGGCACAAGCTATTCAATTTATGCTACGAGGGTTATAAGCTTACAAACATGCGCCTATGTTAACATGGTCGTATGGCACATATTTTCATTTCTTCCCCCACCTTAAACGAATTCTATTAAGCTCTCTCTGCCTCACCCTTTGAATTTCACATCATCACCCAGCCTGATGCCGCGGACCCTCAAATGAGAGCAGCTGTAAATACAAAGCACCAAACATGCAATTATAGGGAACACCACATCAGCAACCATATTAATATCACACAAGGAACATTTCATACAACTTCTATATCAGGAACCATCTTGGTTTGCATGTCCCTTAACATCTGAGCTGCAAAAATCAAAAGCTCCACCATCTCAAGCCCTGCAGCAGAAACAGTATCTATCTTCTCATCATTGCATTCCTGATGCTCTGTGCCACTGTCCACACTACTTCCAATGTAACCAACATCTGCCTCAACTGACCAACTGATGGGTAAGGAGCTGCCAAGAGCAGTCCTTACAAGTTTTGCCTCATTGATAACCTCATTAAGGACTTCTGAAACACCAGAAACTGAACCTTCAGAAGGCACAGACTCCTTGGCCTAAAAACCATAGTCCATATCAAGCAGGTAACCCGTATTAACACATTTCAGCTTTCAAGTTTCAAAAACTACAATTGACAAGATTTCGTAATATTTCCATGCTAGCAGCTGAAGTTCATGCAATCCAAACAGGAGGAGGCCTCTCATCCTCCCCCCGAGACTTCCAAATATAAAAATTTTAACAGCACTGGAACAAAGTAGTATGATACCTTAAAAAGAGAGAGCCGAAGCCTATGAATTGACGAAGTTAAATGTTCCAGGCTTTCCATGCTTTCCTTAAGAGTTGCATTTTCAATCTTCATTCTGATAAACAATAAGCAAACTATGTAAGTAAACAGACGGCTGAAAAGAAAATATATGTCCGTGGTATCTTCAAACAAGTCTAATACATCTGACATAGCTTAAACTATCCAGCCACAATCATCCTTGATGGAATAAAATCAGAATAAGACTCCCAAAATTAACACATGCCTTGCAAAATCCATACTGCCGGATCTCTGATTGACGAATTTCCCTTCATTATTTGGATTACTGCAAACTTCATTTCGACTAACATCCAGTGGGCCAATCCATCGTCTCCAGTATGTTTTCTTCAGTAAGTTTTTTAAAGTTCCATCTCTTTCACGAGTAACGAGCTTTCGTTCTCCAGTGTTGAACACAGCATTTCCTTGATCAGTCTCATGACCCAATTTTCTACATTTGCATTAGAACGAAATTTTTATTATTCAAAATGGTTATTGAAAGTAACGAAGGAGAAACATTTGAGATAGCAAGAGAAAGAACCACAAAGAAAGAGAGTGACGAAATTCAACCGACTGCTGATGAATGATTAAGAATAAAATTGCTGGTCAAAAAAGTAAAATCTTTTCAAAACAAGATTAGAGGATGAGAAACAGATGTCTTCTAATTTCTTACATACAACTGTTCTAGTACTTCGTTTGATATGCTATAAAAGAAATTAGACTTCCAGATGGGATTTTATCACGTTAAAGATTAAAAAAGAAATATCAACAGAGTGCCTGACGGGGAAATTGGTGGTGTTGGAAAGACAATCAAAGCCAATTAGACATCATTAAAACCTTATACAACAATAAATTTAAAAAAAAAAAAAAAAAAAAAAAAACTTTGAGCGTCGTACTTTCAGTATACTAACGGTAATTGTGTTATTTTGAACCAAAAAACACTAGTATACTTTTTTCTGCAGTTTATAGTTCATTTCTCCACATGATTTTCAGTTGTTGACCACGAAGACAATCAAAATCATTAACTTGGATGATCTACATGTTAATGCAAATGTATACTTCAAAATGACAAAGAACAGAAGCATAAAAATACTACTTTTTTTATGGATGGTTTTTCTATTGATGAAAAAAGATATGGATGCTTAGGAAAAAATTCACTAAAAAATAACAACAGTAACTGGGTGAAAATATACAGGGATGCAAAAATATTGAATAAGTAACCATCATCAGAAAAGTACTCATACTGTAGAAGTAATTGATGCTCCTGCTTTAATTGTGCCAATTCTATGAGAACTTTCACCTTTTCATTAGTAACCTGAAGTGACAAATAACAACTTAACAAATCAAAATAATATTTGTAAACAATTGATAATATCAAGGATCCTTTGCACATGAGGTTCAGAAATATGATTGCGGTAATCCACAATTCAGAGGCACAGACGTTATTGCTAACATACTGTTTTATATATCTTGAAGAGGATAGTCAGCAAATTTTCATTTATTAAGGATATGAATAAAAAATATTACAAAACCAAAAAAAAAAAAGAGGAAAGAAAATAAGATAAAAAAAGAGCAAACCCCGATGCACAAGGCACCCCGACTTGCGAGGGTAGAGGTGAGGGTCGATTATAGTCAACCTTATCCTCGCATTTTTACAAAGAGGTTGTTTCCCATACTCAAAAGTGACTTTTTAATCTATATAGTATACTTAACACACCCAAAATAATAAAATAACCTTATCGTTGCTCCAATACTCTCCCTCGAGAAAAGAAAATAAGATAATAACCAAAAATATAGATATTGCAAACATAGAGCTAACTTTCTTATCAGAACAATATAATCTATATAGTATACTTAACACACCCAAAAATCATTTTCTAAAATCTACCAGCACCAAGCTACTTGCATCTCGATGTTCCAAGTGTTTGAAGCAAAGATATTGCAGAAAATAACCTGTAACAAGTTCCTCTGAAGTTCTTCAGTTTTTCTTTGAAGGGCTGAATTCACATTTCTCTCCAATAGATGTCTTTCTTCCTGCTGTGATAAGAGCAATAATGCAGAAACCTACAATATTAAGCATAGTAAACATCAGAAAGTTACATTGCCATAAATCAGAAGCACAAATACTTTGATGAATGAAAAAGCTACGAGGAAAGAGAAAATACAAGGAGATTTAATAAAAATCATGATGGTGTAAAGACCTTTTCTTGCAACGCCATTGCAAAAGCATCAGATGTATCACCTCCACCAGCTTCTACCGCCAGCGAGCTAGGACTATTCTTCTGTAAAAGATTAATGAAAATACTTAACCAATTCCAAAGATTGCATCTTATAACAGTCAACACAAATCCGTGAAATAAAGCCAGAGTCTAATCTAGATTAAGACATTTATATTGCAGCTCAAAGTTATCAGAACACATTTTATAAGAAAGAGCATTTCCATTTTCTACCATAAGAATTAGCTCATCTGCCCATAAACTTCTGATTGTATTAAATAGTAGCGTAGTTATTACTGATAGAATATATTGCAACAGCTTTAGGAAAACCCATTGCTTTCTTCATCGTTGGACTGGCCTGATTTCAGCCAGAAAGTAATCGGGTGGGAATGGAAGAAATCAAGCTGGCCCTATTTGAGTCTGAAAGTGATTGGGCAGGCCCCAGAAAAACTCATTTCCTGTAATGTTATGCTGTTCCTTTTCCTATACTTCTCTTCTTTTCAGATCCTCTGCTTTTATTCATAATACCATAATACTTTCAATTCTCAAATTGTGCAAGTCTTCAAGATGAGAGTATGTTGTTGTAATTTTGAGTAATATTAAGTAAACCATATTCTTTTACAACGCCATGCACTATTAACTATATCTCTACAAGCCCCCAATCTATACAACTGCAATATTTGCGATTAATAAAAATGAGATTCCCTTTGAGAAAAGGATGCAGTATTAGCATGAATTTACAAACCTTTGACTCTGAGTCAGGTTTAGCTTGAGTGCTTATATGCACATCCCGACATTCATGCTCTTCTAGTTCTGCATCTCTTTGAGTGGTCAAATTTGGTGCAGTACTCTGATAAAACCTCCCGAGTCTTTCATCAATCACATTGATCATGGATATAATACTGGATTCCCCATCATTAAGTAAATTCATAATATGATCCCTATACTGAGAATGACAATGCTTTAAGTCTGCTATGCCATTCTCAATCACTTTGTCCTTAGAAATCTGCAAATGAGTCATCAGAATTTAGAATAAGCAAATAGATTAAACTTTTTTGCTTTAAATTTTAAAAGCACTCACGTGATTCTTTTCCAGTACATTGACTCTCTTCTTCAAATGATTTTCAATTTCCAAGCCCTAAAGCATAAAAAAAATAAAAAAATGAATAACTGATGTTGAAAAGTATGGTTAACAAGGCAGTGATGACAAGGGGCAACTAGATCATACCACCCTTAGTTTATTTTGAAGATAATCCACAGAGTTCCTCACTCTCTCCAGCTGTTCTTCTAATGCACTCTGTCTGAGAAATTGTTATTCAAAATATGTACAGAACATAGAATCTCAATAAAATAATTTCCTAAGTATTTAATGACAGTAATCTGTCATCACGGAAGCTAAGATCATGCCAATCAAACTTGGTTTAAAAGGCTGTGGAGAGTCTTAGCAAATGTCATACTCGACACCATACTGAATAACCAGTATAAGGAACACACAGTGTAATAATAAAGGAAATAGAATACCAGGGTTTTGAAATCTTACAATATATTTAGAGGTGGAAGCATCATTAAAACTCCACACCTCCCCAGGGTCATGCAAAAGACATGTACATTTATCATCCCAACTTGTATCTTCAAATTCTTTCAGAGAATATTGTCTGATCTGAAAGAACTTATTAATTACCTGTAAATTCATAACAAGTATAAAGAAAAAGGCCAAAATAAATTCAGAGCCTGTTGTAAACAATCACCCAAAGAGAACAATAATAATAAGCACACCTGTATCCAAATAATCTTTGCATATAAATACAGTCACACACAGCAAACATAGATATTAAGTACTACTTTATCTGGGAAAATAAATCTTTCAAAAGTAACCCACATATGCTTTAAGCAGCTCCCTCCAAAATATGTTATAGTTTATACCAAGTTACCAATAAGATTTCAACAGCACCAAAAATTCTATATTTGTCATTAGATAGCATAACTAACCAGTAAAAAAACTTATTCATGAATTCCTAGATCTGTTAAATGCTATAACAAATATTTTGTCATATATTGCATGATGAAGAAATTAATTAGAAATGTATAAAAAAAATCCATTTTTGGATTCTTACTTTTCTATATCCTAAGAAACCATAGGATCTGAACTGAATAACAAAGGAAATTAAAAATAAAGAGATAACACCACCTTCTTGAAATTTTCATTCTGTTCTATATGCATTGCTAGATCATTCTGCAGAGCATCATTGAATCCCTTTAGTTTAAGACAATCTGAGGTGAGCTCCTCTACCCTGCATTAGAGATAGATTGCATGTAAAATAAAATAAAAAAATGTTTTCCCCAGTAGCCCACGTCTTGCATGTAAAAAATAAATAAATAATAAAGAACAGTGGTATAAGCAATTGTCTATGCACATAAGTTTCAACCTTTCATTCTTACTTGAGAAGTTTCCATGATAGCATATTACACTCGACCTCTAAAATGTTCTCTATACCTAGATAGGCTAAAGAATTGGATATAACAGGATTTAACAGATAATACAAATTCCTCATTTCTTTCCATTCTCTTTTCCTTTTGGTTTGAAATTTGATATCACTCTGTTCTTATGTAATTACCATCAGCTTCCCATTCTCAAAAACATACAGGTACCAAAGGTGCACAATGAAGTATTGACTCAAGACAACCAAAAAGAAATACAGAATGTAGAAAATAATTAACTTCTCTATTCTATAATAGAAAATTCAGTGTCCTCAATATAAAGAAGAAGTGGAGCACAAACACAGGATTTGAAGTTTCAGAAATCAATTCTAAAGAGAATAGATACAGTTGGAAGCACGATGTAAACAGGAAAAAAAAGGTAGAAGAAACAATGAAAACACAGCACTGCCAATTTGGCATGTGCGACAAGTTTGATAAACACTTCAAAAGGAAAATCATTGGAGAGGAAAATTTGGATACATCTCTCCATTGACCATAGATCATTGAGATAATTCTTAGGTGGATCTCCGTATTTTTGACTCGTAGCTTATTTGCTACACCAAACATAACCACGCAACAAGTGCATCATGGCATCATCATCTAATTAGACGAAACAAAAAATAGATCTTTTTTGGGACCTCCCAAATCATTCTACATTTTATATTTCATCTTTCTTTGAAGTTTATAAATATGCACTAAAATGATAGAAAGATTGAGAATACCTTTTATGGATGCCATTTATTTGTTGCGACATTGTCTCCTCCTTTTCCTTGGCCTTTTCAGCCTGTTAGTATCATGTAGAATGGTCAGAATATCAATTACCACAAAACAAAGAAGTGCACAGAATAGTGAAGACTTATTTTTCTAATGATAAATGGCAACTATCATAACCTCGATTATTGCATGATCTCTTTCAGCAAAAGCAGCAGCCACACAACCCTGGAAAAATTTAACCTGCTTCTCAGCCTCCAAATTCTGGACGTTTGAAGTAAGTCAGTTAATCACGTACTCTAATGTACAATCTAGTCAAAATACATATCACAAGCATAAACCTCATATCACAGAAAAACCTTTTAATTCTTTTAACAAACTCTAGCACTTGCACAAGCAATTTATATACTGGATTAAGAACTCTTTCCATCATTATTTTTCCACAAGCCATTTCAAAATTTTCAAGCTACTCCCTCAAGTATAAAATTTTGGACAAAAAATATGTATAAGGTAATATCCATTTGTATCCAACAACTTTCCACAAGTTGCTAAAGCTGGATAACAGATTCACCGTACCATTTCTATGCTAGAGTGTAAAACAAAATGAAGTAAAATAGTGGGGGGGAGAGAGAGACCTTTGAAACCTCAGCACTGTGCAGATCTGCCAGTTGACTCTGAATACAGTAAAGTAAGCATGTAAACAAAACAGAAGGAATTATTTAAGCAACAGACACAAAAATTTAAATAACTCACTTTAATTCTGTAAGCCTCTGAAAGCTCCTCTTGTAGATTTAGATTGTCTCTTGTGCAAGCAGCCAACTTCCTTTTCAAGCTCTCGATCTCCTGCTCCAATCCAGCTGTCCTAATTGGGCAAGAATTTCAATATAGTGGATATTCTTTGTTGGCTTAAGAAAATAGATACTTATTGTATGTAGATTGAAACAGATAGATACCTCTGAAAATGCATTCGGGTAGCCACAGCAAGATAGCCAGGCCCAGCTTGCTGCATGCATAACTGTTCAATATCTTTGCGTAATTCGTCACGCTCTACAAAATCATACATTCTGTAAGCTCGATAAGTATAATAGATGACTTTAAAGCCAAATAAAAGATATTACAAGATAAAAACAAAAGCATATGGTACCTAAAACTAGAAGCAAGTATTACAACTTACAATACACCCATCTGTAAAATGATTTTCTAAATTATCATTTACAATCTGCTTCGTAAGAAAACAACTAAGAGGTAGGGAATGAAGCAACCAAAGGAAGGAGTCTTTCCCTTGTTTGGAATTGTAGAAAGGGAGGAATTTGTGGGGTGGGGGGTGTGGGGGGGTTGTAGGCCACAAAGTTTCTGCATTTGGGATAGAAATGAACTCATCCTATGATTTATTGACACTCTTGATCTCAACAAACAAATATATCATAAATTTCAACTTGCAACTCAACTTAACTTTCGATGAAATTATAAATGAATAATATACAATAGTCCATCAACTCAACATTGGTCTACTGTTCTTACCAAATCTACCATACATTGTAAGAGAGTTAAAATAACTTGTACAGGTAAAAAAAAAACATGCACACGTACCGTGTTCCAGTTGTTGGATACGAGCCAACAATGATTCATCAATTGTACTCTCAGCCATTCTAGAAATAAATTGAGAGAAGAAAAAAAAAAATCCACCATCAAACCAATAAATTTTAGGAGTGGCGCGGTAAAAGGCTCCATTCTTGTTAAAACCCAAAGCACATTGTTATACCATCAAATAACACATAGCATACCCATACCCGTTGGCTCAGATGGAAGGTGTCTTAGTTCCCTTAACCAGTGGTCTCGAGTTCAAGCCCTGGGTATGGAGAAAACGGATTGGGTAGTGCTACCCCCGAAAGGGACCGACAATGCACGGTTGGGATTAGTCTCACCCCCAATGGGGGTGGGGATACCCTTGAGTAATTATACTTAAAAAAAATAAAATAACACATAGCATAGCAGTATAAAGTATAAACATAGAAGGTTCACAATGAAGAGTGAAACCAAATGTAAAGTACCAAGATTGCAGTAGACAAGCTAACTCCATAAAGGCCATTTTATTCCAATGTGGCAATGAAGAATTAATAAAAGTGTAAAACGTTTCCATACAATAACCTCATGTCTTTAAGGCAAAATCAGACCACAAAAAAATAACCCACCTACTTTCATCGCACAACTATATGACAGATTAAGGCTCTCTTAATCTTAAGAAGGCGCAAGTAGAGAGCTCTATCTGTCTAAAATTCGGCTAATTATTTCATGAAAGGGAAAAGGGGGAAAAAATAAAAATAAAAACCAGGTGTAAAAGTCAAAACACAAATTCTGCTAATTTCTTCCAATGAAGAACCAGAACCCACCTTCTCCTATCCAACAAAGAGAGAAAAGCAAAAATGAAACCCCAAAAAACAAATCGAACTTTGTTATACAAAATCAATAGCAAATTGCAGCAATATATTATGTATAATAATAACATAAAACTATGTAAACGAAGAAGAGAAAGGGAGCACGAAGTTCACCTGAACGTTTGCTGGATTTGAAAGGCCACAAAACAATTCAAATAACGACTTCTTAAAGAAAACCTCAGAGGAAGCACGATTCAAATAGCGAGCTTTGCTTTCTGAAACTCCATCAACTTTGATAAAGGGTTTCCAAAGCAAATGGAAAATAAGCACGTTTACGATTATCCAGCCACAACACAACCAATTAGGATTTGAGGAATGACGACATGCACTGTCTTAAAATTTTCCCACAAAAATATTTATATTTATTTGCAGTTTTTAAATGTAAACATCATAACTATTTAGTCCAATTAATCTATGGGCAGAGGGATTGTTACATGATGTAAGATAATATTCTTACTCGTATAATTATACGTGGGTCTCATTTTCCCTCTTTATCCTTTATTTATTGAAGCTTGGGAAATACACCTTGGTTGTTATTCTTTCTTCATAAAAACGTTTCTTTTTATTTACCACATTCAATCAACATCTAAGTGGTGTATTGGATTCCGACCAGATCCTTTCGTGTTAAAAAAGACATGATATGGTGACGTGGGCAATTATAACTATATAAAATTAGATCGATGATAATAAAAAAAAGAAAATATTAAAATAAGTAGCTACTAAATCATAACCATTAATTTATCTTTGTATGGTTATGATTTAGTAACTATTTATTTTTATGGTTAAAGTGAGATTTTAATAGATTATTTTTAGACAAAAAAATCATTAGTATTCAATTAGGATTTTAAAGGATGGCAAAAAAATCACGTGGTATTTGATTAGAATTTTAAAAGGTTATTTTAGAGCCAGTGAAAATCTAGTGATATTCAATCAGGATTTTAAATAAAGAAAAAATAATCTTGAGTTGTGGTTTTCAAAAATTTGACAATCTTAATAGATTTGCTGTTAGTATGAATTTTATGAGACTTTTTAGTTAGAAATATAAATAACATGTCTCTCTCATAATCTCACATTAACTCGTATGATTTCTTGAGATTTTTTTATTGCGATATCTCACAATCTATCCCAGCCTTTTCTTAAAGCCAAGGTATGTTCTTTTTTACTCTTAGGTGGTGTTTGGTTGGGAGCTTTTCAGCAGATATCTATGTTTCTCAAGTATGACTTTTAGAAACACCATGTTTGTTTCAACGTATTTTCACCAAAAATCCATCTATCCAATTTGTATGGATTTATGAGAAACATAGATATCCGCACTGTTTAGAAACCCAATTTGAAGGTGGGATTTTTCGGAAAACCGGTTATCTAGCTTTTAATGCACTGTTGATTTCATAAAGTTACCTAATTTTCCCAGTAAAGTTTTCCCCCACCAAACAACTTTTTTTTACATTTTTCTACCTATCTCACTTTATCTATCTTTCAAATCATTTCTCTATCTATCTCATTTTTCTACTATTCCAAAAAAATTTCATCAACCAAACGCCCCCTTATGCTTTTTTCCTCAACCAAACGTCTCCTTATATATTTTATCTTGTTTTGACATCCCTTTTTATGCTTTTTTTCTTTATGATTAACCGCTGATTTATGATTGTGCTTATCGTCTCTAATGATGTGTTATTTTTTTTTTTTAAATCATAGCACTAATAATACGTTAACAATAAACATATTTAATAAATAGTATATTACTAATAAAAAAATTTAAGACTTTTTATGCACTATGTTGGGCACATAATGAGAAACAAAATTTCAATATTCATTAGAAAAAAATTAATGTTGTTATTGCATAACTTGTTTTCGTTATTGAGTTAAAAGAGCATCTACACAACAATATGAAGCATTATCATACCATTATGAATGCAAGCTACTGTTTGACAAGAAAATGAGCATAAGAATAATGCTCAAGCATAGTACATATGTCAGTTTTTCACTTTATGATCTATTAAATTGAGATAAATATATTTGCATTTACCATAAATAATTTCATATAATAATTTTAATAAAAAAAATTAAAAAATATTAATGAAAATAAAATTTAAATTTTTAAATGTGAATAACATGCTTCATGACACTAATAGCATGCAAAGCTCCATCACACTAATATCATGCAAATGTATCACAAAGTTTTAATGAATTTTGTGCATATAAATTTTCGATTTGATTATCTTTCTTAAGAATCACTTTTGAATGTTTGTGAAAAATTCATATGATTTTTTAAAATTTTATAAATTCATATTGTCTTTTCAAATCTTATAAATTCTATTAAAATCCTTTAAAATCCAATTTCATAAATTCTTAATTGTAAAAAAAAGTCTTTTAAAAAAGTCTTTAAAGTCACTACAATTTTATATAGTCTTTTAAAATCTATAAAAAAAATCTATTCAAAAAAATCTATTAAAATCCTAATCCAAGACATCCCCTAAATCAATCCATTTCAAAAACAACAGATTGTTTAGAGCTTTTGTGAATTTAAAAAATAAATTTTTAAGTTATGAGTCGCAATTTTTCTTAACACAAAAATATGTTATTTCTATATTAAAAACAACATAAAACAATAAACAAAAATCACAAACCAATTTTCATTTTATATTAATGAAACAAAATTGTCTTAAAAAAAATTAAAACTTTCATAATATGAATAATATATTTCGTAATAATACATTCATGAAAAAAAATTTCCATCGCAATAGAAATCGATTTCAATACTCTATCAATTTGGTTCATAGGATCTATAGACTTATCACCAACCATTCGGACAAACAAATATACTTTTGTAGGATCCCAAGGAATTGTAGATGGTTCAACATCCACATCCAAGGCAATGCTCATTAATCTTACATGGAAGCTTTTCACTGATGACAATGGTTAATATTACTCAGTAATAGCTCAAGACAATAGATGCCTTTGTAGTCACAATTAGCAATAAATAGATCCATTGACATCGATAACACCTACAAAAAGAAGTATGAGGAAGCAAATGCATTTATAATACTCAAATAAGAACTGGATGCAGTAGACAAATAAAAATTACAGCATCCAGCTCACTGCCAAAAAGCTCTACAAAATCTGAAACTTGAGTCAAAGAACAGAGCCTTTAAGTTGCCTACATTTTCACACTTCACAGCATACATATAAAGATGAAACAATTTGGAGTTGTTGCAAGCATCTTTCCCAGATAAGATCCATTCTCCCTGAAAATCGAAATAGCTTTAACAGGAATGAATATTTCGGGACAAGGGAATAAACTCAAGACAAGAACCGTCATAGCAAATCCTTCTCTGTAACTAAAGACCAATAGTTATTATTTATCTTCTTTGTTCCATTAATGTTCATTTCTAAAGCCTTCTGGATCAAAGCATTTGACAAAAGATACTATATACAAGGATATATATATATATATATATATATATATATATATATATATATTAAATTACAATTTAATTTTTAATAGTGCGCGCATGCTCACACTTATATATTTGTGTGTACGTGTATACTCACGCGTACATATATAAATTTTTAATTTATTTTAAATTAAATTACAATTTAATTTTATAATTAAAAATCAATACAATTCGATTTGATTGAATATTTTTTATCTATAACAATGCAGTTAAATTGTCAATATTTTGAGTTGTGGTTTTAGCTAGTGTACAAAGTAATCATAACTTATAATTTAGAGAATGCAATATTTTATTTTTGAAGGATTAGTAGATTTGAGAGATGAGGCCAAGCTTTGAATTTTTTAAAAACAAGCAAAGCCAAACTTATAATTTGACTTGTATCAGGCTAACAAGCAAAGTCGGACTTGGAATAATTTACATAGGCTTAATCCATTTAGAGTAAAGCCAGTTTAACTGGCTTATTTACACCATTATATACGAACTTTGTTTCCAAATAATAAATGGCAAACGCCAAAATAATAACTAACATTTCTTGCATAAAGACGAGCAGAATCAAACAAATTCATAAAAATGACAGCTTGCCTGTTCTGCAAGGCGTATTGAACTGCAGATAGTGCATTACATGGTAGTTGAAGCTTGCAAGAATATTCAATGGGACCTCCTGGATTCTTGTGCCTCTCCATAATAATCTCAGGACGAAGAATTGAATATCTAGATAATCGACAGAAGACACCAAGCTAGCAAAGCAAACAACCAATCTCAGGCAGAAATGCAGGACCTGTGACTAGGTAGCTGAGAGCAGTAGAAGTGGATAAGACCTACAATCGAATTTAAGCTGACAACTTGTTACAAACCTTGAGGTCGTCATCCCAAAAACTAGCTCAAAAGGTGAGAATGACCAAGGTCTTATAAATCCCACATTAGTTTCCTATACAACTAATGTGGGATTCGTAAGATTGTCACCCCCTTTAAGGGTTGACGTCCACGGCTGCTTTCACTCTATCGACACTGACCCGGTGGTGGCCCTTTTCTTTTTTGGCGGCTTCACTTATCTATCAGTATTCAGTATAATACCCCTTTCGGAGATATGACACCTTAATCCAACCTATAAGTAGCCCTATATGTGATTTTAACTCTCAACAAAAGCACTAATTGCTACAAATCTTGAGATCACCATCCTAAAAGCTAGATAAAGGGTGAGAATGTCTAAGACCTTATAAACCTATATTAATTTCCTATACAACCAATGTGAGTAGGAGTACTACCGGTGGCTGAAAAGATGAGAGAACATAGACTGAGATAGTTTGGGCACGTAATAAGAAAGTCTTTGGATGCTCCTGTAAGAACAAAAGTTTGTTACCAAGAGCTCAACACAAAGAAAGGTAGAGGTAGACCGAAACTTACTTGGGGGAAGGTAGTAAAGCAAGACTTAATTGATTGAGATATAGATTGGTGGACAGTGTGCCTTAGAACAAAATAGAGAAAATCCATATGCATGGTGGAGGGTTAGACCCGTTGTTATTCCTATGTTCCAGATGGAACCTTTTTAGTCATTTTTCCTCTTCATCTCCCCCTCTCTTCTTTTCCCCTTCTTTTATCACTTTTATATATATATATATATATATATATATATATATATATATATATATATATTTATTTATTTATTTATTTATTTTTATTTTATTTTATCTTTTTTCAACCGTTTCATATCTTTTATTTGGATTCATCTACCACCGACCCCAATTTAATTTGGGATAAAGATGTTATTGATGTTGATGCAAAAAAATTTACAGTAAAATTGTAATTGGTCGGCCCATAAAACTAACCCAATAAGATAGGCCCATCGCCACGTCACCCCTATCAACCCAATGTCTCCAACTGTGCCACCTATCTTGTTAGGTGCTACAACGTAAGACCCAAAATGTTATACATACGGACTCCCCCTCATCCTCGGAACAGTGACCATTTTGCCACGTTTGGACAAAAAAATTACCAGACTGCCACGCCAATAATAAATTTTGCCAAAATGTCACGCGGCATAATTCGCTACACAGTGTAGCGAAATATGCCACGTCAGAACCAAAAATGCCACATGTCAAATTTTGAGAAATTTGCTACCCTATGTAGCGAATTTCTCAAAATTTGACATGTGGCATTTTTGGTTATGACGTGGCATATTTCGCTACATTGTGTAGCGAATTACTTGCATGTATAATTCGCTACACTGTGTAGCGAATTATGCCGCGTGGTATTTTGACAAAATTTACTGTTGACGTGACAGTCTGGAAATTTTTTTGTTCAAGCGTGGCACTTTGGTCACTGTCTCCTCATCCTCTTTGCCTTTTCAAAGACCACAAATATACAATTGGGAGCTCTCCCCTCACATCCCATTTGCGCAAGCAGCTGCAAAACACCTTGTCACAACAAAGTGTTTTGATATGGCTCTCTCTCTCTCGGCTCTCCAGAAGGGTATTGATTTCTTATGAACCGTTATGTTGTTAACTTGAAGAGTTCATTGTAGCCATCCTTCACCACTCCCATTAGTAAGCACTGCACCTTGGACCTTCTTGAGCAGCCTTGGTCTATATCATTCCTGTCAGAGATATCCCTATAGTGATCGCCACACCCTTCGGGGTTACATATTGGGCTCCCACCCTCTGAACGGTTCAACATCAATATTATTTCATTCTACTCATTGTAAAACATAAACAAAGCCTTATATTTGTCTTCACTCCTCACTATATTGCTTGTGAGATTTGATAAGAGCTGATTGATCAAAAGGTTGAATCGATGTCTCCAATAGCCAACTCTGATGATGAGTACTCTCTTGAATAACAATAATAATAATAACCAAACTACTGGTGAGAACTAAAAACTTGAAGGTATTGAAGGGATGGGTTAGGCGCGTAGTTCCGACGCGCGCGAAAATTTTCCCTCTGCTAGGGTTTTTTTTCTTGTCAATTTTTTCTGCTGATCTAATGGAGGAAGCGTCCGATTTCATCAATGAAGCTCTGACTTCGGCTAGGACGAGTATAAAGAGAACGAAGAGTGGGGATGTAATCTCCACGGAGGCACGCATGAGGGAGACTGTCAAGGACTTCCAATCGGGGCCGACGGCGATTCCTATGCAGCGGTCCTTTGCTGAGGTTACAGGCGAAGAGAATGGTGTAGCAGGAGACTCTTTCCCCTGGCTAGCTGATGAGGAAGCTCCGGATCTGGATCCTCTGGATCCTAGCCTGGGTGAGATCACGAAGTGGGGATTTCAAACGATATTGAAGGAAGATGGTACAGTTGAAATTCGCAGCAGTAGAGAAGCAAGAGTGAGGATGTGCCAGCGGTGGAAGAACGCGCTGATCGTTAAACTCTTAGGGAAGAAGATTGGAGTGGGATTTATGAAGAAAAGGCTTGAAGCTCTTTGGGCCAAGGCAGGAAGCATTACGGTGGCTGACCTTGGCAACGAGTATTTCTCGGTTCGTTTCAGCAACCTAGAAGACCTTAACCTTGCCATTACTGCAGGACTGTGGATTATTCTTGGGCATTATCTGGCCACAAGAATATGGGAACCGAGGTTTGATCCTGATAAAGAAAACATTCACAAGGTGGCAGCCTGGATTCGTCTTCCAGGCATACCTCAGGAGTACTGTGAATTTCCTTTTTTAAACCATCTGGGCACTGTGTTAGGGAAGGTGCTTAAAGTGGACAGGACAACTTCCACAGGGGACAGCGCGCTTTGCTCGTATCTGCATTGAGATTGACCTCTCCAAGCCTTTGAGGGGAGAATATATCCTGATGGGAGCAGGAAGAGGGTGGAGTATGAAGGCCTATTCCTGATATGCTTAAAGTGTGGCAGGTATGGCCATAGTTCTGACTCGTGTCCAGAGTTTGCAAAGCCTGGACCACCTGCTGGCCATGAAACTGAGTTGGCTCAACCTGTGGAGGTCCCTGGTCCTCAAGGAATAGGATCATGGACGATAGTTCAGCGGAGGAAAAAAGGAAATCAGAACTTTCAGAAGGAAGATTCGAGCAACACCAGGAATTTTGGAGAGGACATCTCCAATAAAAGTAACACTCTAAGGACTGAGTCGACAACTAGAAGGGTACCTAACCCCCAGGAAGTAGTTCAGGAAAAGATTCCTAAAGTGGGCACTTCTGTGCTGAAGAAGAACAAGGAGAATGAGGCAGCTAAGAGTTCCAAACAGGGATTGAGACTAAGTATGGAATTCACTGCTGTGAAGCCGACTAGTAGCTCAGGTCCTGTTCAGCCTGCCAAAAAAGTGTCCACGAAGACTTCAGCTGGCAAAGGAAAAGGCTCTGGAAATCCTAAAGCCCTTGTTGTGGTTCACAAGAAGAATATATCTAGCAATTCCACCCCCAACTCTCTTCATCCCTCTCCAGTGAAGCTCAAGAGTAAGCTATGGAGTGATATGGTGATGGAAGAAGAGCTTGCTCAACAGGAGGACCGTGCAAAGCTTAATTGTAAGTTTTCCTCTGCTGTGGGATTGGGGTGTGAGGACTCTATGGAGATTCCTGTTCCTCCTGATATTTTCCTGAATGCAGAATCAAAGAAGGGGGTAAGCCAATCAGGTATGGAAGTTGATTCTTGCCTATGCAATGATTCGGGTAATTTAATTCTTGTTGATAGGGTTATTATCTGTGATAAAGTGATGACTGAAACTTGTAATCAGTCTGAGGAGTCCCTAGATCAAAGTTGCAAGAACTTAGAAATCTTGCAACCCAACCAGAACTGTTCATGAATATTCTGACTTGGAACTGCAGATGTGCTGCAAAAAAACAATTCAAGAGCACTTTTTGCAGGTTCTGTAGAAAGCATAAGGTAGGATTGGCTGCTATTTTAGAGCCTAGAGTTAGTGGTATTAAAGCTAGTAGTATAATTCGTAGACTGGGTTTTACTAACCATTTTGTTGTAGATGCACATGGTTTTGCTGGAGGAATTTGGGTGGTTTGGAATAATAATGATGTCAAACTATCTCTCTTGGGGAAGCATGACCAGTTTATCTACTGTTGGGTGGAGTTTCCTGGTTTAAAGGGTTTTTTTTGGACGGCTGTGTATGCCAGTCCGCAGGAGGAAAAAAGATTACAACTATGGGAAGATCTTAAGCACATTGGGAGGAATATGAATGAGGCTTGGATCCTTTCTGGGGATTTTAATGAAATCATGATGGCTTCAGAAAAAAGGGGTGGAGGGCTAGTAGATGTGAACAGATGTAACAGATTTGCTAACACCTTAAGTGCTTGTGGGGTACTTGACTTGGGGGGAGATGGTAATAGATTTACTTGGAGGGCCCCCAAATTCTCACACCTTGATAGAGTTTTCAAGAGGTTGGATAGGGCTGCTGCGAATGAAGGGTGGAGGACAGAGTTCGAGGATGCTGATGTGCTGGTTCTCCCCAGACTCTTTTCAGATCATTGTCCAATCCTGGTGAGGCTTGTTAAGGCATATTCTGTTTGGAGAGAGAGACCCTTTCGATTTCTGGCTACTTGGCAGAATGACTTGAGATTCTCACCTTTCCTCAAGGCAAATTGGGATCCTTCTGCTAGCTTGCTGAATAGTCTTAACTCTCTTATTCCTAGAATCAGGGATTGGAACAGGAATGTCTTTGGATTCACTCAGTTAAGGAAGAACAGGGTAATAGCAGGCTTGAAGGAATTCAGAGAGCAATTGACTCCTCTAATAGCATCCAGCTTGAGAAATTGGAAGCTGTTTTGAGAGATGAGCTAGCAGTCATTTTGGATCAAGAGGAACAAATTTGGTTCCAGAAGTCCAGAACTCATTGGATAAAAGGTGGAGACAGAAATACTAGTTATTACCACACTAGTACTGTTATCCGCAGGAAGCTTAACAAGATTATTAAACTCCAGGATGGGAATGGACATTGGGTCTCTGGTGAGAGGGAGCTGATTGCTCTTGTTAGGGATTTTTTTCAAAATCTGTTCAAGGCTAGTGCTGAAGAACCCTCTTAGTTCCTTACAAAAAAGGCCTGGCTTACCAGTAGCAGAGAACTCTTGGGGAATCTGTCCACAACCATTTCCCTTGAGGAAGTCAAGCAGGCATTCTTTCAAATGCCCCCCTTGAAGGCCCCTGGCCCGGATGGGTTCCCTGCCCTTTTTTATCAAAAAAATTGGGAAACCATGAAACATCAAATTCTGAGTTGCATGCAGTATTATATGCAGTACCCTGAGCAGCTTGGTGAGGTGAATAACACTCTCATTGTGCTTGTGCCTAAAGTGGATAGACCCTGTCTCTTGACTCAATTCAGGCCCATAGCCCTGTGTAATTCGGTCTATAAGGGTTTCAGTAAAATCATTGTTAATAAGATCAAGCCTTTCCTGGGTGCTCTGATTTCACCTTTCCAAGTCAGTTTTGTGCCCAAAAGGAATATCCAAGATAATGTCATAATTGTCCAAGAGCTAGTTCACTCCATGCATCGGATGAAGGGGAAGAAGAGTTTCTTTTCCATCAAGTTAGACTTGAAAAAGGCCTATGACAAGCTCAATTGGAACTTTATAAAATCAGTATTGGAGGATTTGAGTTTCCCTAGAGAGCTGATTAACGTTATCATGGGATGTGTGACAAGTCCTGCTTTAGAAGTATTATGGAATGAGGCAAGAACCTCTGGCTTCCATTCTCAGAGGGGAATCAGACAAGGGGACCCACTTTCCCCTTACCTTTTTGTGCTTTGCATGGAGAAGTTATCACACTTAATCAGTGATGGGTGGAGGCCAATAACTGGAAACCTATTCGAGTTGGTAGGAATGGCCCCTCCATTTCCCATCTTATGTTTGCTGATGACATAATCCTGTTTGCTGAAGCCTCTCTTAGCCAACTTGACTGCATTGTAAACTGTTTGGATAAGTTTTCCAGGATGTCAGGACAGTGTGTCAGCATTGGCAAGTTTTGCATTTATTTCTCTAAGAATGCTGAGCAAGAGAATATGAATTCCATCTCTGAAGTGAGTGGTTTTAGAAAGGTCAATAACCTTGGCTGTTATTTGGGGGCTCGGATCAGGCATGGGAAAGTTAATAGAAACCACTATGCTGCTGTCATATCCAGAGTACAGAACAGGCTGCAAGGGTGGAAATCCAAATGCCTTTCATTGGCAGGGAGATTCACTCTTGCTAAAAGTGTTATTTCAGCTATTCCTAGCTACCACATACAGAATAACACCCTGCTAGTGCATGTTTGTCAAGACATAGAGAAACTGCAGAGAAACTTTGTTTGGGGGGATTCGGAGTTGAAAAGGAGAGCCCATTATGTTGCTTGGGATCAGTTGTGCAAACCTAAAAGTTGTGGAGGCCTTGGCATTACCAATCTCAGAGTACAGAATGAAGCTTTCATGCAGAAGTTGGCTTGGAAAATCATTAAAGACCCTAACAGCCTTTGGGCTAGAGTGTTGCTAGGCAAGTATGGAAGGAACCAAGACCCAAATCGTGCTTTGATAGCTAAAGCGTATGACTCCAACCTTTGGAAGAACATATGTATAGCTAGAAGTAAGATGTCCAAGCTGCTGGAATGGGTAATAGGGAATGGCAATTCTGTTTCCTTTTGGACTGACTTATGGGGTGGATTGCAAGACACCCTGTTTGAGTTGGCCATAGTCAAACCTCCTCTTGAAGATCTTGAGCTCAAGGTGTGTGAGGTGTTAGACCAGAGCACTATTGGTTGGAACTGGGCTTATATAGAAAAATTCTTAGATGCTTCTACTTGTAGCAAATTGGCTAATGTCTTCCCTCCTAAGTCTGATGCTTCTAAGGATTGGCTGAATTGGAGGAGGTGCTGCCCAGACAAGTCAGTGGTTAGAAATGCTTATTGTCAACTCATGAACTCGGATGAGGGAGAAGACAGAATCTAGGAAAAAGTGTGTAAATGGAGGGGGCCTTACAGGATAGCTGTCTTCATATGGATAGCTTGTCTTAACAAGCTCCCTGTTCGAGCCATTACGCATAATTGGAATGGAGGGGAGATCCAGTGCCCATCTTGTCACAATGCTCAGGAGACTCTCTTGCACACCCTGAGAGATTGCAACGTGGCTAGGAGACTTTGGGGTAGTTGGTTTGAGGGTGCAATTCCAAGTAATTTTCTGGCAGCTGAGGGAATAGAGTGGTTCAGGCTCAATCTTTTTAAGCCTTTCTATACTCACCTTTGGCACTCTTTGGTGGAAATTTTCTTTGTCTCTCGTTGGTTCCTTTGGCAATGGAGAAATTCCACTGTGCATGACAGCCTGTTCTCTAGCCCCCTTGACCCTGTCAAGAGAATTCTTTGTTACCTGTCTGACATGAAAACTGATACTGTCATTGATCCATTCCCTTTTGCTACTGATCCTTCCTATGTTCCAGTTAGTACAGGTTTTAGAGGATCTCTTGGAGATGCTAAAATTTTCGTGGATGAGGCTGTTAATCTGGCTACTCACCAGGGAGCTTGTGGAGGTTTTGTGTGTTCTTCTAAAGGAGATTGGCTAAGTGGTTTCTCTATGAATTTAGGTACTTGCACCCCTTTGGAAGCTGAACTGAGGGGCATTCTTCATGGTCTGAAACTTGATGTCCAGTTAGATGCTAAATCTGTCTGGCTTGGGTGTGATAGTAAGGAGGCCATATGCTGCTTGGAGGACAATGTTGTGCCTGGTGGCTTCACTTCCCTTATCGATAGCATAAAAAGAACAGCTGAGATTTTGGACAGCTTTCAGTTGGAATTCATTCCCAGGGATTTAAATGTTAATGCTGATTGTTTAGCTAAGTTAGGTCTCAACTGTAAGGGGGTGAGTTGAGACTGCACTCCTCTCCCCCTGACAGCATTTTGCTTTCTTGGAATTCCTTTGTTGCTTCTTTCTTGTTGGAGCATGTAACTTTTAGCATGCATCAACTTTCTGTGTAGTTTTTTTGGGCTAGGCCCTCCATTTATATCAAAAAAAAAAAAAAAAAAACTTGAAGGCTGAGTTGTAAGCTTTGGTTTACAAGTGGTTTAGAATCAATAATCTCTTATAAGGAATTGTTACAGTATCCTGAAAGGCGGTAAGTTGTAAAATTTTAACTGAGTGTTGATTTTATAATAAATATTTAAAAATCTAATGAAATAATCAACAACCAATGAATGATCGATATTAACAAAACAAAGATGTGTTGTCAATTACAGTGGAACCCATTTTGGTGTTTTATTTCAGCCGCTCATTATTTATGCTTCAATAACGGAGTGTGGTGGAAGCGGACCATAGGAAGTTCTAAACTCGTCGTTAACATGAACGAGGCAGTTTGACCTTCGGAAGCAATAGTTCATATTATTTAACATTTATAAAAATAAACAGTCAACAGAGGGAGGAGGAGGGGAAGAAGAACTAGAAACAATTTTCATAGAGCTGAATTCTAAAACACACTTCAATCCGATTTGTGCGAGTGTAATGTCTTCTCAGAAGCACGCATCCAACAGGCAGCAGCAGCAGAGAGCAGCCAAACTGCAACATTTTACAAATAAATACTCAACAGTAGGGGAAAAAAACTCTTATAAAGCTTCTTCATGCATATTGTCTATTTCTCCCTGTATTCTGAGGCATAAATTTCAACAAAAGCTCACAAGTCACAAGTCTGTTTTTCCTTTTTGGGGTTTAATTTTTAACCAAATTTGAATAAGAACACTAGTAATGGAATATGTAAAATCTTAATTTGATCATTGAAACTTTTCTGTTTGGATGTAACTTTATGCGTACAATAAACATAGGTTTTTCAACCAGTGTCACATTTTTTTTGTTTAAACTCTCTTTTATGTTGTTTATATAGCATAGTATTTTGTATAAAAAAAAATAGGAAATCATTTTTTCACGTTGCAAATCGAAATCCATGCTATTTTCTTTTTCTTTTTTATTTTTTTAACAAAATGGAACTTAGCAGTTGTGTCTATCACACGAAAGATATTATGTCTTGTAAGGAAAAGAGAAACCCAAAAAAAGAAAAAAAAGAAAAAAAAAATAGTGAAGTAAAATGAGAAAACCGAAGGTTCTAGTGGTCTAAGTGACTGTTTGAATTCTCTCTTTTTTTGAAGTTAGAAATTACTTATAACTATAAACTAGGCCAAACAGGTTTTGGGAAAAACTCTTATAACGAAAATCTCATTTTTTTTATAACGAAGAAAAAAGCCGAAAACTAAAAGCTCCTAGGAGAGTTTTTTTAAGCTCTTATATATTTTTATTAAATTGTGTGCTTTTTTTTTAAATGAAAAGTGATAAAAATAAAAAGAGAGATAATTTTCTTGAAATATATGCTTTTAAGTAATTTTTAAACTAAAATTTTTATATAATTTACAAATAACTGTTAATTTATTTTTTAAGCTCTTTTTATTTACTTTAACTTATAATTAATCTCTAGCTTAAAATTAAGAAGATCGGCTCTGTCTCTAACCCATTACCCTGGCCTGGCCCACTTAGAGTGCGTGACGGAGACTCCTCACGCATCGTGCGCACTATAAGCTAATAATGCGCCTGTAACGGCCACCGAGTCAACTAGCAAATCGACCCGGATCTGAGTCGCCGGAACCCAGACTCACCGATTAAAATTAAATTATACACAGAAAGAGAGAGAGAGAGAGAGAGAGATGGACGCACCAGCCTTCCAAGCAACCAGGACCCGATGAATTGTGTTGATGAGGCGGAGGCTGAGCGTACTGAGGTGCGTAGGGCGGCGGATACCCCTGCGCTGGGTACGGTGGCGGAGGATATCCTGGCTGTGGTGGATATCCCGGCGGCGGATACCCCGGCGGAGGATATCCCTCCTTTCCGTAGCCCTCCGGCGGATAACCTATCCATACACAAAGTCACAATCACAATAACAAATTAAATTTCCGAAAAAAGATCCCGAATTTCCGCCATCGGATTCAATAAAATCGAAAGAAAATGAAGGAGAAAGATGACGGACCCTGCGGGGGTGGAACTCCGACCGGTGGCTGTTGCTGGTTGTAATAACTCATCGTGGGTGGTTGAGGTCGAGGCTGAGCCTTTGATTTGATGTTTTTCCAAATCGATTTTTATTTATTGAATGAAGAGAACACGATTTACGATGCTTAATCGCTGTCATCAACATCACTTCTTAACTAACTTATCAATTTTTATATTATTTGGTGGGACCCCTCAACTCTGTCGATTACGTGATGTTTCATTCAAAGCTTTTTTACCTCATCTCCTCTCCTCATGCCACTTGGGTTTTTATGTTAGTTAGCAAATAAATAAAATAAGAGTTTTATTAATGTCATGTTAAAGGCGATAAATTATCTTATATTATAGAGATAAATTTATAAGCTCTACCAACTGAAAAAAAAAAAGATGGTACAATTATCAAAGAGAATGTAAGAAAAAAACTTATCACATATAATATAAGAGTAATTTTTTTCATAAAATAAACATACTTCATTTCATTTCATGTAATTATGTTTCACTAATTATCATTTCTTTCTTCACAGGGCTGATATTCATGATTCCATATTTAATAGAATTATATTTATTTAATTTATTAATAAAATTTCACTTATTTTTTAAGAATAATCATTATTATCTTTTATTATTTTAATAAATTATTATTTTATAAAATTTCACTTATATTTTTTTTAAATAGTATTTTGTTCGCTGTCATTGTTAGCCTGGCCATGTGTATAAATTGCAAATTTCGCTGTGATTCTAGAAAGTTCCATTATTGGGTGCAACAAAATTGAAACAAACACATCTTTACAGATCTTTTTGCCCTCTTTATTTTTCGAATCAAATACTACACAAGCCACAAGGTGCTAGAAAAAAGGAAAAAGAAAAAACACATCTTCCTAGCACTGCATTACTTCCTTGCCAAAATGGATTAAGTTTAATGAGTTAGCAAAAATTAATCTACTAAAATATGTGAGTAAGGTTAATAAAGTTAAACTAGAAAAAATAATTTCAATCTAAAGCGAATTAATTCTTTGCTCGCAAACTCAAAATGTGTCATAATTATCTATTATAATTATTATTTTTAAGTTTATCTAAATATTATTTTTTAAAACAAACATTTATATATTTATGTGACTATTTTTTCTAATTTTTAATACAAATTAATTAAATGAATTTTTTAAAATTACTATTTTTGAAATTAAATTATATGACTAAGTGAAAAAAAAATGTAGACCAACAAATCAACTCAAATATCCCACAAGGCCACACTCCTCAGGACCATGTTCCAACACGTTGCTAGCATGAACAACGCACTATGAACAACTCTTGCAGTGGATGTGTGGTGTATAGTATAGGATAAAGTTTGATAGTACAAGATCTGATAGTATAAGGTCTGATTGTAGAAGACCTGATTAAATTTTAATATTATCCAGTGTTTGACACGGTATTATATAAAATAATATATTGTATAAGATAATATCATCTAGTATTTGGTAATGTACTATATAATACTATATAGGATAAAAATAAATATTTTTAATAAAAATATCCTTTAATAAAGAATTTATATAATTCTTCAAAAAATATCATATGATATTAACTTTTATAAAAATTTATTGATCAGTGTGTCCAAAACATAAATTATTTTTTATAAAAATAAAAATATTCAATATTTTAAAAATTAATATATTGAAAAATTAATTTTATTTCAATATATTAATATTAAAATAATATATTAATTTTTGAGAATTGCACTGGTCAACGATGTTAATACACTAACCTCTTATCATGTCTTATCCCTCCCCCTTATGCCGGATTAAGTTATACATCGTTCTGATATATTAAGGGATTAGCTTATAGTATATGATGCTCACACCAAACAACTGAAAATGCCATAACGTATAGTATAAGTTTATACTATCATGCCTTATACGTCACACCAAACATGCCCTTACTAACATAATAAATAAAAACGAGAATTTGATTTTATTAAAAAAGTCTGACCTCAAATGGTTTGACTGAGGAAGTCTGACTTCTTACACATAATGTTTTTTTTTTTCAAATAATTCTTGTTATGAGCTTTATTCAATATTTCAAAGTTTAAATAGATAATACTAGTGAACAAAATAATTACCCACTAATACTAGATAGGCTCCACTAATTGTTGATGCTTAACAAAAACAAACAAAATAACTACTCATAGCCCACTATTTAAACAAACCAACAATCATAAAATAATAATAAAATAATAAAAATAAAAAACTGTAACAAACTCACAGCGACAGCCTTGAATGGAACGATGAATTGACATCCCTACTATTATATGTCAAACTAGTGAAATATTACCGGACAATCTTTATATTACCTTATTATTAATGGGATTTTTTTTTAATTTTTAATCTTGTTTTGGTTATAAAAAATAATTTTATCTCATAAAATATAAAGATTAGAGACGATAGCAAGAGATCACCATAATTAGATTAAGTTATACTATTTGTAGCAAATGATTTGACTTCATATCTCAATTCAAAATTTTAAGAAATTAAATTAATGTATTCTTTTACTTATATAGGCTTCACTAAGTGCATCACTAATCAATATAATATTTCGTCTCAAACATGAATAAAATATTCCAAGTACCTTAAAAACAATAGAATTATTATTGAGTGCCGAGTCATTTAATTATATCGTTCTTTGAATAGCTAACATCTATTATTGAAAATTTTATTGTAAATATTCATAGTGTGAGTAATTTTCACATCTGCAGCAACAATGTCAATTAAATTGCTTTCTTCTTGAATTTTATCGAGTCACGAGCAGCTCAAACCGCCAAGATGGTGGAGGCACAGGTAGGAAAAGTTCAGGAATTTCAATCACGAGGTGAAGATGATAAAAGAAGAGTTTTATTCACTAAATGAGAATTGAACACATAATTTAATATAACCTATCTAAATTCCTGATCACTAGACCAATTCTAATGGTTTCATCATTTATGTTGCTCAAACTATTTTTTTTTTTTAAAGAAATGATTTATTTGAGCAAATAAACAAAAAAAAAAAATTGTTTTCTGCATTACAGAGAAACCCATAAAATAGAGAACATGATAATATATTGGAGAGATGTGCATAGAAATATTTGAGCAAATAGCCTTCTAACAAATGGACTTGAAACAAATAGCCTTATTTGCTAAGGGCTAGGTTAAACGGGTCCATAAAGCTTCCCTTGTCGGGCAGAAACCATGCTCTCATGTAGATGTAATGATATAAAAAAAGGAATTGGTAGCCTTTCCTGTAAAAGGCAAGTATAGCAAGGCTTTCCTTATTGTAATGCTAAAACAAACCATTCATTTTAAGTGAAATATTGTAATATGAATTAAATTATTTATAAACGAAAAAAATCATAAATTCAAATTTAAATTATAGAGTTGTTATATTGTGATATTATAGAAAGATTAATTGGTCCAAGTATTAGTAAAACACGAAGTCGAGTTCAAAAGTAACAAATAGTTAGTAGAAGTTACATAAAATTCTTCCTCAATTAACACTATTTTAATCCTTCCTACATGTTGTCACAATTTTCATTTCACAAAAAAATAAATTCCAACTGGTTTTATCAACAAGAAGTAATTAAAATTGACTATTTTAGAAATATAAATCCATGTCACAATTTTCATTTCTTAAAAAACTTGTTGGGAACTCGGTTGGGACAAGTTAAGGGTGTTCGCGGTCTGGATTGCATCGGTTTTGGAAGCAAAAATCATCCAATCCAATCCCTTCGGTTTGGATTTTTTTTTAAATCCAAACCAATCCAATTTTTTTTCGGTTTGGATTGGATAGGTTTTTGGATTTTGAAAATCTTAAAATTTGTTTCATGATTATTGTGCAAATAACATCTTTTGTATATATTGACTTTGTAAAAAAAAAATTGAAATACAAAAACATCAGTAAATGATAATATAGGTTTTTTTTTCTTAGGTTTAGTTGATGGGTTAATGGATCTTGAGTTTAAAAAATTTTGGGCGATGATAGGGGAAAGACCCAAGTAGGTAGAGGAAAAGTAATATATTGGATCGATTTGGATCTCAGCAATATGAACTTGGCCTGAATCACCAAGTCGTCGAGCACAGCAAAAAACGAAAAATACAGAGGAGAAAAGAGAGAGAAATTCACACACAAATATGTTTAAGGTGGAAAAACCTTCAGTAAAGTTCCAACAATGATGATAATCAAACTTCTCCATAGATGTTTCACTCAAATTCTCTCCAGAGATACTCTCAAATGCAAAGCTCAAAGCTTTACTCATAAATATCTCAAGTGTCACTTAAGAGTCTCTCAATTCTTCTTCTTTTAACTAGCCTTCATTCACAACTAATAAATACATAGAGAAGATGAAATCCAAAGTTTAGGACTTTAGGAAATAATGAGCTTGAACTTAACATTAAAGAAGAAAACTTAACAAAAATCATGGTAAATACTGAATTACTTATATATTGCGTCCTTGAAAGGAGCTTGTTTGCTGTGCTCCAGGCACAAAACTCCTTTTTTAGATATAGAATGAAAAAAGGATGGAGGGGAAATTTGGGAAAAAGAAAAGGGTATAAATGAGATAAAATTTTACCCAAAATAAAAAAAGACCACAAAATAGAGATATGAACCTGGATCACTATAAAAAATTCCCCTTGAAAAGTGTTAGATGGTATAGCAAAATAAGTAGCATATTCAGTAATAAATTACTAGAAGAAAATGAGTAATGCAGAACTTATCGTATGCAAGAATCATTATGGTGATGATCACCAATCTGATAAATTCACTGGGAGAAGCACAGTGGAATATGGCAATGTGGCATACTTGCCCCCATGTGCAATTAAGTGCAGATGGGGCTTGATGTCTACATCCAAACAGTTTATGAGGGAAGGACAATTACACGGAGGTAATCATTGAGATTGACAATCCAATTATTCATGGAAAATTCAATTTCAATTATTTTGACTCCTAATTAAGTTTTCTGATTGTTTGCACGTTACAGAGAAAATGTATATATTTGGAATTTTATGTTTATCATTTAACATAATATAATTTTATTTTCCTACACATACATTAAAGAGGTGAGGTCCACATATTTTTTTTTTCTTTCATCATTCCACTTTCTCTCTCCCTTTTGATGTGAGAGTTGAAAACAACACTTACATTATGTTACATAACACTAATAAAACCCATATATTTGACCCGCCAAACATTACAAACGGCATATCTCCCATCAGAAGAGTCACCAACACACGCCATGTCACGGTCCCCATGGGAATGATGGGTAGCCCCAACAGAATGTTCAAACATGAAAATCAAAATCAGAAAACGAAACATTGAATTTTTCTTTTCACAATAAATTAATTTTTCTCATGGTTAAAAACCGTTTGTACTTACGTCAATTTGTATGTATACAAACGTGTAAAACATATACTACATAGCAGTTTTTGCCTCATGCCAAGATTTTAGACCGTTAAATTTACCTGGCCATAAGGATTTTCACATGACAGAATTACTTATCATGTAACTTCTTTTATATATATATATATATATATATATATATATATATATATATATATATTTGTGTGTGGGAATATATCAGTCCTTTAACAGAAAAAATAAAACAATTCCTGCTGATACATTGGTAACTGTGCTTGCATTCTTTTTAATTTTTGTTTTTCTTTTGTAACGGAGCCCACCAAAATTTATTAGTGCAGAAAAAAAATTTATTGTCCTATCACATAACACATATATTTCCCATATATATATATGAGACAGGATCCTTTGACACCGGTGTCAAAAAAAAAGTTTGACACCTCATCTGAGAGCCGTTAGATTAAAAAAAATCAACGATTCTGATTTGTAAGCATGTGACACCATTGATTTTTTTTAATCTAACGGCTTTCAGATGAGGTGTCAAACTTTTCCTTTGACACCGGTGTCAAAGGATCCTGCCTCTATATATATATATATATTTTTTGAGGAAGATTATATTTGTAAAAATTTTGTTTAGAAACTACATTATATTTTATCGTAAGTGAATGAAGTCATACCGGTAAAACAATATAGTTTGTAAAACAAAATAAAAAATTATCAATATAACTCCCCTTATATATATTATATTAGAAATTAAATTATATCAAGCCAATATATACGATAAGAGGTAATGTAACGTATGGCCAAGATAAGGATGCGTTAAGAACCTTGAGGTCACCACCCTAAAAGCTAGCTCTAGTGGTGGGAGTGCCCAAGGCCTTATAAAAGCCATATTAGTTGCTCATCCAATCAATGTGGGATTATATATCTCAACACGCCCTTTCATGCAAGAGCCCTTTTAGGCTAGAAGCGTGGAAATTGCACAGGCCCATTTTTGGTTTACCTTTTTGTGTTTTTTATTTATTTATTTTAATTCCACTTTTTAAAGCGGGGGACGGTGAGAGTCTGATACCATGTTAAGAACCTTGAGGTACACCACCCCAAAAGTTAGCTCAAGGGGTGAGAATGCCCAAGACCTTATAAACTCCACATTAGTTGCTCATACAACCAATGTGAGACTATATATCTCAACAATCATCAGTCAATTTATGGGAAATGGGAGGAAGCATAAATTCTGGACAATTTTAGTTGTATATAGCACAATAAAAAAATGTGTAGCTATGGTCTCCAGCTAATTGAAGTTGACCCATTTGAAGGGGAGTCCGTCAAAAGAGAAATGGGCTCGAAGCTGTTGAAGAAGCCCCATATCTCTACTCGTCATACGATGGCCCTATAAGTTCGTGTTGGGAATAAATCTTTTCCATGTTAAAATTTTATATAATTAGATTATGTGAATTTTTTGTGTCTATATATTTCTTAATAATAATAATTGGACTCCACCTATTTAATACATAAGAAGAGAGAGATTCACACAAAAATTTCATATGAACATATCATATAAAATTTTAACATGAAATGATCCACTTTCTTATCTATACATGTCCCCGAAAAGGACAAAAAAGTGCAAGTAAGAAATTTTTCCAATTATTATACCCTTGATTGGGAGTGCATCTTTTGTATTAATAGTCATATTAATTACTGGATGCAACGGTATATTTATGCTATATATTACTGATATCATATAGTGTAAAATATAAAATTTATTTTTTTTCTCTTTCTAATACAATAATAGTTGATGTGACACATTTTTATTGGCTCGTAATACCTACGCACCCTAAATTTTTTCCTCGATTGGGAAAATTCCACTAGGACAGATTTGATATTAACACCAGCTTTAGATATTAGATTTGTTTGCACTGCCCTCTCTTCTTAAATAATGAGCGATACTAGGGAAAACTGCACATGGGTTTTAAAAGTTTTATCCCTCTTTTAACATTTTTTTTCTCTTCAAGTGGTCTAAAGCAGGTAGCCATGCACGTACTGATTTTTAGTGGGGTTCTACATTATTCAAGCTTTTAGGTTTCAGAGACCTTGGCTGCTCCCTAAGGTATTCTACCCCTTCCCTCACCACCCTAAAAAAGGCATTCCATCATTCACATTTCAAGTTAAGAAAAAAAAAAGTAAAAACATTTAAAAGTATGATTGATTAATATGTTTTTAGATTGATTAATATGTTTTTAACCAAACTTTTACCATATGGGTCTCTGACTTTAATATTGATGATGGGTGGCTCAACCATATTTTATACGGCAGTTCGATCTCTAAATATGCAAAATAATTAATCAATTTTTTAAAAAATTACGCAGATATGTTACAATTTATCGCATATCGCAACAAAGTTAAGGTACATTATATTGGATCATCGAGCAATATAAAATAAATGAGGCATATCTGTCTTGGAGATTTTGCACTTTGTCTATCAAATTGCTTGATTATTGAGTGGGTGTTCTTTCTAAATGAAAAACAAATAAACTGTGTATGATGATTTGACGTATTGGGAACTATAATCTTTTTAAATTTATTTATTATTGTTTCATTGGCCGGGCTCTCATTTCACCTAATTGGACTAATATTTGGTACCCATTATTCATTTAACTTATACTCAATTAGGAATCTAGCTAATTGTTTTCCCCCCAATAAATTAAGTAAATATAATACAATTGACAATTAAATATGCACCCACAGTTATATTAGGAATTGAAATTTTGTAACATTATTTGTTTTCAGCCAATTCAATCCACCAGGATAAACTTGAGAGCAATTAATTAAGGAATTTAAGAATTTAATTAAATAAGGATAAACTCTGATTTATGTTTTATTTTTTTAATAAATTAATATTGCGCTAAATTTTATTGTATTTCATATTAATTGAAATAATATAATTGCCAAAGTGATCACCTCTGTTATAAATGTTAGTTTATTATAAAATATAAAATGTGTATATTTGTTATGTAAATAATGATTGGTTCAATGAATATTATTTGATTGAGTAATAAATATACATGAGATAATAAATATGTGAAAGATTATAAAGATTTTTTAAGTGAGCAATAGTCGGTCCAAAAGAAAGTTATTGTTTAACAGGATTTTCCATTGCTGAGTGAGACAATTGCGATTATTAAAACCGGGATCAATGATAATGAAAAAAATAGAGTCATTAATTAAGATTCATAAGGCATACGTACTATGGTTACTTGTTGAGGTGTGGTTGTTCATTTAACGATGGACATGGCTTCTATCAATCTTGATTCAAATCAAAATAATACTACCCAAATTGGCATCTGATCCAAATCTCCAGATCACACCTCTAGGCCTTCTACTCGTCACCATGGTTCAAAAGTACACATCCACCAAGCCTGCAACGTAGCTAATATACTATTCCACAAAATGGTTACACCAAGTCCCATGAGAAAGTTGAATCACATGGTCATAATTTGCACTGAGTTTCAAAATAGAGGTTCGATACTTGTTGCACTACGATTCGACGGAGTTTGCGCAACTGATCAACCTCGAGGACGAGGATGTTTTAAAGGGTCGCATGTATCTTTCACGATACCATTTTTTTTGTTTTTGGTAAGGGGGAAAACTCACAGCACAAAATAACATTAAACAATAGAAATAATCCGAGATCTACAAACAGATGCTAAATCAGCATTAAACAGGAATTTAATACCAGAAGGAGACATGTCAGGACCATCAGAATTAACTATGTGATAGTTCGCCAACCAGTCTGCAATATTGTCACCTTCTCTATACGTATGCCTCAAATGAATTATCCATTCATTTGCAATCCATGCTCTATTTGAGAAATCAAATGACTCTCGCGAGCTGCATCACCAGAAT